AGAAACCATGGTCAGAAACAAAATTTGAATGTCAGAAATGGGAAAAAAGCCATCTATTTATCAATATGTTGTTTAATTACGATACTAACCTGACTCACTCAAATGTGAGTTATTCTCATTAGTTTAAAAACTACACGTTTCAGGTGAGTGTCTTATTTGAACAGTTCAACAATATATTGGTGAGTAGATGGCTGCGGAACTCGCTGCGCTCGTCCCGCAGAGGTCCACCCATAAGTTTCGCAACAATCCGCTTATTTGTACTTGAAAAATAACTTATTATATAAAGTCAGAGTTTGTAAGATTATCCACTTTTTGTCAATTCGCCTTTCAACAGGAATTGGTAATGTTTCTTTACCAAACTAATAATATATTGTGACAAGTTATTCAAGAACAAACGAGTGGATTGTTGCGGAACTTATGGGTGGACCCAGCCATCTATTCACCAATATGTTGTTCAAGTACAATACTAACCTGATTCACTCAGTTGTGAATTTTTCTCATCAGTTCAAAAACTGCACGTTTCAGGTGAGTGTCTTATTTGAACAGTTCAACAGTATATTAGTGAGTAGATGGCTGCGGAACTCGCTGCGCTCGTCTCGCAGAGGTCCACCAATAAGTTCCGCAATAATCCACTTATTTGTACTTGAACAATAACTGTTAACAATAATATAAAGTCAAAATTTGTAAGATTATGATTATACACTTTTTGTCAATTTGCCTTTCAACAGGAATTGGTAATGTTACTTTACCAAACTAGTAGATAACATAATGTGACAAATTATTCAAGTACAAGTGAGTGAATTGTTGCGGAACTTATGGGTGGACCTCTGCGGGACGAGCGCAGCGAGTTCCGCAGTCATCTATTCATCAATACGATACTAAACTATATTGGTAAGTAGATGGCTGCGGAACTCGCTGCGCTCGTCCCGCAGAGGTTCACCCATAAGTTCTGCAATTATCCACTTATTTGTACAGGGTGTTTTTTATATATATTGACACCCCACCTACCGTCTTTACCTTCACATATAAAAGAAAGGTGTAAATACAAAAAATGTACAGTTTTGGCTGAATTTTTAGAAACCATGGTCAGAAACAAAATTTGAATGTCAGAAATGGGAAATTTTGCATGCTTCTAGCTTTTTTCAAATGAGATGCCCTATATTTCATTCTATATTCTTGAAGAGCACAATGCCCTGATTCCATAAATATATAGTTTGTCTTTATTTGATTGAACAGTCTCTCATATATTCGGCTCCAAAAATGGTAAAAATACTATTCTACCAATTCTACTACTGATTTCGTGAACCATTCTACCTATACAGGTGAAAGCTGCAGGTAAAATTTGAGGAACTTGGTTTCTCTGATAGTATTTTTAAAATTTTTAGAACCAAATATGTTGGAGACGGCTCAACCAAATATGGACAAACTATATAGTTTTGGAATCGAGAAATTGTGCTCTTCAAGAATATAAAACCCATTTGAAAAAAGCTGAAAGCATGCAACATTTCACATTTCTGACATTCAATTTTTGTTTTTGACCATGAATTCTAAAAATATAGCCAATACTGTACAACTTTTGTATTTACACTTTCATCTACTTGTAAAGGTGAAGACTGTAGGTGGGGTGTCAATTTTGTCAACTACTTAAGTAAATACCACTCTGTACATCAATTTTACTAAAGTGTGTCGACGAGTCAGCATTTATTTGGTATAAATACCGCACCGAAATCCATTACCGACAGACTAAGGCTAGTGCAAAGTACATCAAATGGGAAAAGCCCTTCTAGCTAAGTCTCCTCCCAGTACAAACTACCTTTAATGGGAAACGCCCTTCTGGGAGTATTGAACGCACCAGACTAGGTCCAGTGCAAACTACCTTCAAGTGGAAACGCCTTTCTGGACCTATCTCAAACCCAGCTTCAGTCTTCAGTCACGCTAAGTATACAGAGTGTACATAATACAGAGTGGCCCATAAGTCCCTCTGTAGAAGAGACGTCATGATGCTATTTCTTGGGTAATATTATTATTAATACATTCTTATTATACCAATCAATACATTATCTTATTATACCTATAGTATTTGTAATACCCATCTAGAATAACCCCATCCTTATTTATCAATCACGAATCAGATGAAACAAAAAATTACTAACAAAAAGGAACGTCGATTGCTAATTCGTCAATTTCATGTACAAATAGAAAATTCCTAACCTAATATAATTTATGTGTCAAGAAGCGACATACGTTTTGTCACTAGAACGACTGGTACTTCTAAATAGGTATTAAAAATACTATATACCAAGCGAGTTTCTCTCTACCTGATTCCTACCTACGCCCCCAAGTCACGCTCCTGTTGTGACGTTCCAGGACGAAACGTATACGGGTTGTGACAATATCTAATAGCACCATCTTCAGCATCTAAAGTACCGTAAAGCCATTTTTGCGCTGTACCCATAAAATTTAATAAACCCCTTTTATTTCTTTTAGATTTTTGATAGTGTTTTTCATTGTTTTAATCTGTATAAGATTAGTTTCAATATTTGTTTGAAACAAAATTTCATATCGTCTTATTTAGTGTTTTAATTAAACTTAAGCGGTTCCTAAGGAAATAGGTAGTATGGGATTTTCCATCGTAGTTTATTCGTAGGTGTTTGTTATTTCCATTAAAATAAAGAAGACTGTGGCTTTGATTCTTGTGCACCTGAAATATGATATTGTTGTTTCACATTTTACTTACTAAAGTGTAATGGTATTTTATTAACATATCGTGGGCTTATTTTGTTCCCATTAAATATGGGTTTTTCCAAGATAGGTTCTTTGTTCACGATTTTCATTACGTTTTTTCAAAGTTTTGATAAAAGTGTTTCCTGAATTTCCTTATTTAAATTAAAGAATCAGCTAAATTATTTATATAATCAGTCAATAATTTGTTTGGTGATTGCTCCATTGGCATAGCATAATTTAAATCTCCTTTCATTATTTGAAAGAGTGTATATTCCGTTGTGCTATGAATACTATTATTATAGTTAAAAATAGCAATTGTCATTAATTCACTTATTTATAATTGTGATGCTTTCACGCAACGTTGAATGGAATCTTTCGATGGGACTATTTGAAGTTGGATTTCTCGGAGTTGTATAGTGAAATTCAATTTTATACAATGTACATAAATCAGTAATTATCCGAAGTAATTCTTTGAGGTATTCCGTGATCACTAAAGTCCCTACTTTAAGAGTTGTGATGCAATTTCCACAGCTGTTTTAGTTGTATTATTTTTCTGTCTTTTTTCAAGCAATTTGTCAGAGGTTTTGTTAACTTGGCAAAATTCTTAATAAATTTACGATAGTACCTACCCTACCAATTTTAAAAATGATTTTATTTCCTTTATAGTGTTAGGCATAGGTTCTAGGTATAGGAAAATTTTTAATTGCTGATATTTTATTTGAATTTGGTTTTATACCTTTACATGTCCTAGAAATTCTACAGTTTTCCGTAAAAATTCATGTGTTCGTGTAGAGATGTTGAAAATATAATTATGTCATCCATATACCAAGCATATTTTATTTTGTAATGCAGACAATACATTGTCCATTGCTTTTTGAAATATTGCTGGTGCGTTTTTCAAACCAAATGGCATTCTTCGAAATTCAAAATGACCATTTTCAACATTGAAAGCCGTTTTTTGATATAGAATCAGGATGCATTTCTACTTGATGAAATTTTTTGTCTATGAGATAGTCAAAATTACTAGTTTTCACAATGTGCTTACTTTTAAACAGCGATATCTCAAAAACTAATCGTACGATTTGAGATTTTTCTATTTCTATAGGTTCGTATTTAAATTGGAATAGCTACCCCCTAAGGGTTGAGGCGGGGTGAATCAAAAAGTGCCTCATTTTGGTTCCCCCTCTAATCCCCCGATACTTATTTGAGATCTTCCTGATAGTATTTTTTGTCTAAGAGAGATTTCCGATTGCTACTTTTCAAATTTTCACCCTGTATATCTATCAAAGTCAAGTAGCAACATTTTAGAATCACTGATGAATACCTTACACCTTACAACATAACTTTTGAAACAAATATTAATAAGGATATTACATCTACTTAATAATTTATAGTTCTAACATGAAAATTACTATAGCAATTCAATCTAAATTTGCTAATTAAACATCCAATAACATTTCAAGTAAATTAATTTGCATAGATAATGGAGGTACATTAAATAAATGTATAGCCTATGAGGCCATCCAGAATCAAACCAATTTATGTAATGGCAAACCATGCTTCTTCCTTTTCAAGTACCTTTAAGTGCGTTGAAGTTTAATTATGATATTAATCAATAAACAAATACCAGCTGATGTTTTGATTATTATCACTACTGTTTGTTGTTTTTATTATGAAAAATAATAAACAAATAACAACGCGTAGAATAAATACACGTTATTATTAATGAGGCGCACCTGTTTTTCCTATAAGAAATTGTTAATTAAAAATTTTAAGTTCAAAATCGAAGCTTCCGCTTGAAACCCTTATTATAAGATGTATCAAGAATCCTTTAATTAAAACCTGGCTCTAGTTTTGATTAAAGGTTTAAATTTCAAAATAGTTTTGGTGAAATTTTTAATTAGGTAGGTAGCTATTCTAGGAAATTGAACGCAAATTCGTACAAAGTTCAAGCACGAGGTTCAAAATTCGATATTCTTTTGTTCTTCGGTTGGGTACTGTTTTGGCAGACTTTGACCACAAAAATCTACATATAATGAATCATAATATTTTCCAAAAAAATTTTCGCTAAACGTACAATAATTAGTATATTGCATTAGGACAAGAATTACATTTTACATAATTAATTGACAGAAATCAAAATATTTTCATCATTAACGTGTTTTTTTTTTTGCAGCAAAGTGCATAATATTATCAGGAACGTATTTCTTGTTGTGGATTTCCTTCAGGGTTAAAAGCCAGTTTTAGTCATGTTGGGGATCTGCATAAAAGCACCAATCGAATGCTGGATCAATCATTATCGAAGTATTATTGAGTCGCGCTACTTGCACCTGATTTTTTTTTTAAGACAAACATGGTTCAGTTTAGTCAGTTGGTGATAGTTTTCATAGTGAGTATTTAATTGAACTTATTTATTTAATGAATAATTGATTAAATTTCAATAGATTTATATAATCTCACAGATCACTTGCCAATTTTATTAAACATGATTATTACAAATTTTCAAACTTGAATGCTGAAGTCGCTAGCTTTTACGGTTTTTGAGAAAATCAAGTTTTAGTCAAAATTTCGATTAAAATTCATCTTTGAGCTTCAATATCTCGCAAACCAAATACAGTATTGAAGATAATTTAATAGGATTTATAGAGAATTTAATGCTCTTTTCAAACATATATATGTTAAATTAGTTTACTAAATTTTAATTGAAGATATAAGCAATTATTCATGAGCATGTCAATATTTCAAAAAATTTCCAGACCCCAAAATGAGATTGCCTTTGGATTTTTGTTACCTGGTCGAAATTTTTAAACTTAACTGATGTTAGACTTGTTTCTGACTAATTTTGATTCACTCTATCGATTTGAAAAGTTAAAATTGAAAAAAATTGAAAAATAAAAATTTTAATTTTTTTTCTAAGGGTATAATAACCCCTTTGGAGTTTTATTTGCAAATTTTCAAACTTGAATGTCTCGGTAACCAAAAGCTGTTCTTGGACAAAATTATTAGGAATTGTGGCTCTTGAAAAGGTCTTTAGAATGGTGTTTGGCTGAAATCTCTACCTCCTACCGGTTCTGGGAAAATCGAGTTTATTTAAGTCAAAATTTCGATTAAAGTTCAACTTTGACCTTCAATATCTCGCAAATCAAATACAGTATTAGAGCCAATTTTACAGGATTTATAGAGAATTTAATGCTCTTTCCGACCATGTATGATTTGAATTAGTTCACTCAATTTTTATTAAGGATATGAGCATGTCATGATTTCAAAAAATTTCCAGAGCTCAAAATGAGATTTCCTTTGGATTTTTGTTACCTATTCTAAATTTTCGAACTTAAGTGATGTTAGAGTTGTTTCTGACTAATTTTGACTCACTCTATCGATTTAAAAAGTCAAAATTGAGGAAAATTGAAAAATACAAATTTTCATTTTTTTTCTAAAGGTTAACCCCTTTGGATTTTTATTTGCAAATTTTCAAATTTGAATACCTCGGTAACCAGAAGCGGTACTAGAACAAAATTCTCAGGTATTGTATATCTTGAAAAGGGCTTTTGAATGATATTTGGCTGAAATCGCTAGCTTTTACGATTTTTGTAAAAATCGAGTTTGAAATTTTAGTCAAAATTTCGATTAAAGTTCAACTTTGAGCTTCAATATCTCGGAAACCAAACACAGTATTGAAGCCAATTTAACAAGATTTATAAAGAATTTAAAGCTCTTTCCAACCATGTATGATTTAAATTAGTTCACTCAATTCTAATTGAAAATATGAGCAATTATTCATGAGCATATCAAGATTTGAAAAAAATTCCAGAGCTCAAAATGAGATTTCCTTTGGATTTTTGTTATCTACTCGAAATTTTCAAATTTAACTGATGTTAGAGTTGTTTCTGACTACTTTTGACTCGCTCTATTGATTTAAAAAGTCAAAATTGAGGAAAATTGAAAAATACAAATTTTCATTTTTTTTCTAAAGGTTAACCCCTTTGGATTTTTATTTGCAAATTTTCAAATTTGAATACCTCGGTAACCAGAAGCGGTACTAGAACAAAATTCTCAGGTATTGTATATCTTGAAAAAGGCTTTTGAATGATATTTGGCTGAAATCGCTAGCTTTTACGATTTTTGTAAAAATCGAGTTTGAAATTTTAGTCAAAATTTCGATTAAAGTTCAACTTTGAGCTTCAATATCTCGGAAACCAAACACAGTATTGAAGCCAATTTAACAAGATTTATAAAGAATTTAAAGCTCTTTCCAACCATGTATGATTTAAATTAGTTCACTCAATTCTAATTGAAAATATGAGCAATTATTCATGAGCATATCAAGATTTGAAAAAAATTCCAGAGCTCAAAATGAGATTTCCTTTGGATTTTTGTTATCTACTCGAAATTTTCAAATTTAACTGATGTTAGAGTTGTTTCTGACTACTTTTGACTCGCTCTATTGATTTAAAAAGTCAAAATTGAGGAAAATTGAAAAATACAAATTTTCATTTTTTTTCTAAAGGTTAACCCCTTTGGATTTTTATTTGCAAATTTTCAAATTTGAATACCTCGGTAACCAGAAGCGGTACTAGAACAAAATTCTCAGGTATTGTATATCTTGAAAAGGGCTTTTGAATGATATTTGGCTGAAATCGCTAGCTTTTACGATTTTTGTAAAAATCCAGTTTGAAATTTTAGTCAAAATTTCGATTAAAGTTCAACTTTGAGCTTCAATATCTCGGAAACCAAACACAGTATTGAAGCCAATTTAACAAGATTTATAAAGAATTTAAAGCTCTTTCCAACCATGTATGATTTAAATTAGTTAACTCAATTTTAATTGAAAATATGAGCAATTATTCATGAGCATATCAAGATTTGAAAAAAATTCCAGAGCTCAAAATGAGATTTCCTTTGGATTTTTGTTACCTATTCTAAATTTTCAAACTTAACTGATCTTAGAGTTGTTTCTGACTAATTTTGACTCGCTCTATCGATTTAAAAAGTCAAAATACAAAAAATACAAATTTTCATTTTTTTCTAACCCCTTTGGATTTTTATTTGCAAATTTTCAAATTTGAATATCTCGGTAACCAAAAGCGGTACTGGAACAAAATTATCAGGAATTGTAGATCTTGAAAGGGGCTTTTGAATGTTATTCAGCTGAAGTCGCTAGCTTTTACGGTTTTTGAGAAAATCGAGTTTGAAATTTTAGTCAAAATTTCGATTAAAGTTTAACTTTGAGCTTTAATATCTCGTAAACCAAACACAGTATTAAAGCAAATTTAACAAGATTTATAGAGAATTTAATGCTCTTTCCAACCATGTATGATTTAAATTAGTTCACTCAATTCTAATTGAAAATATGAGCAATTATTCATGAGCATATCAAGATTTGAAAAAAATTCCAGAGCTCAAAATGAGATTTCCTTTGGATTTTTGTTATCTACTCGAAATTTTCAAATTTAACTGATGTTAGAGTTGTTTCTGACTACTTTTGACTCGCTCTATTGATTTAAAAAGTCAAAATTGAGGAAAATTGAAAAATACAAATTTTCATTTTTTTTCTAAAGGTTAACCCCTTTGGATTTTTATTTGCAAATTTTCAAATTTGAATACCTCGGTAACCAGAAGCGGTACTAGAACAAAATTCTCAGGTATTGTATATCTTGAAAAGGGCTTTTGAATGATATTTGGCTGAAATCGCTAGCTTTTACGATTTTTGTAAAAATCGAGTTTGAAATTTTAGTCAAAATTTCGATTAAAGTTCAACTTTGAGCTTCAATATCTCGGAAACCAAACACAGTATTGAAGCCAATTTAACAAGATTTATAAAGAATTTAAAGCTCTTTCCAACCATGTATGATTTAAATTAGTTAACTCAATTTTAATTGAAAATATGAGCAATTATTCATGAGCATATCAAGATTTGAAAAAAATTCCAGAGCTCAAAATGAGATTTCCTTTGGATTTTTGTTACCTATTCTAAATTTTCAAACTTAACTGATCTTAGAGTTGTTTCTGACTAATTTTGACTCGCTCTATCGATTTAAAAAGTCAAAATACAAAAAATACAAATTTTCATTTTTTTCTAAGGGTAACCCCTTTGGATTTTTATTTGCAAATTTTCAAATTTGAATATCTCGGTAACCATAAGCGGTACTGGAACAAAATTATCAGGAATTGTAGATCTTGGAAGGGGCTTTTGAATGATATTTAGCTGAAGTCGCTAGCTTTTACGGTTTTTGAGAAAATCGAGTTTGAGATTTTAGTCAAAATTTCGAATTATGTTTAACTTTGAGCTTCAATGTCTCGCAAACCAAATACAGTATTAGAGCCAATTTAACAGGATTTATAGAGAATTTAATGCTCTTTCCAATCATGTATAATTTAAATTAGTTCACTCAATTTTAATTGAAAATATGAGCAATTATTCATGAGCATATCAAGATTCCAAAAAATTTCCAGTGCTCAAAATAAGACTTCCTTTGGATTTTTGTTACCCAATCGAAATTTCCAAACTTAACTAATGTTAGAGTTGTTTCTGACTTACTTTGACTCGCTCTATCGATTTAAAAAGTCAAAATTGAGGAAAATTGAAAAATACTAATTTTCATTTTTTTTCTAAGGGATTTGGGATTTTTGTTTTCAAATTTTCAAATTTGAATATCTCAGTAACAAAAAGCGGTACTGGAACAAAATTATAAGAGATTGTAGATTTTGAAAGCGGCTTTTGAATGATATTCAGCTAAAGTCGCTAGCTTTCACGGTTACTAAGAAAATCGAGTTTGAAATTTTAGTCAAAATTTCGATTAAAGTTTAACTTTGAGCTTTAATATCTCGTAAACCAAACACAGTATTCAAGCCAATTTAACAAGATTTATAGAGAATTTAATGCTCTTTCCAACCATGTATGATTTAAATTAGTTTTTTTACTACTAACCTGAGAAATAGACATTATTCAATCTATTTTTCTAAGAAAAAATTGAATTTCTCTCCCTAGGTTAATAATGAAAATAATGAAAAAATACCTAGGTTAATAATGAAAATGACGTCATGACACAAGGATATTGTCATGTTTCTATTGGTTCAATTTCATTTCCATACGTCAATTTGAAAAAAAATACAGGTTTCTGTAGGTACATAGGAAGTTATCATAAGCTGTTGATAGAGGGCAGCACTTTCAAGAGGGCGTTCAAAAAAAATAATTGGAGCACAGATTTTAAACAAATTTTTCATTTTCTACTAGCAGTAGTAAAAAAAATTCTATATATTCCTCGGTAGAGAAAGTCATTATATACCTCACTCATTATAAACCTCGGCGCGAGCGCCTCGGTTTATAAAAGCGCTCGGTATATAAGGACCAACTTCTCTACCTAGGTATATAATATACTATTTTTTACTACTAACCTGAGAAGTAGTCATTATTCAATCTATTTTTCTTGGAAAAAATTGAATTTCTCTCCCTAGGTTAATAATGAAAATAATGAAAAAAAACCTAGGTCAATAATGAAAATGACGTCATGACGCAAGGATATTGTCATAACGTTACAGGTTTCTATTGGTTTAATTTCAATTTCAAACTGTCAATTTAATCAAAAAAACAGGTTCCTGTATGTATCATAGGAAATTACCATAGATGTTGATAGAGGGCAGCACTTCCAACTGGAAAATATAATTTTAGCACAGATTTCAAACTTATTTTTTATTTTCTATTAGTCCTACCAGTAGTAAAAAAAATTCTATATATTCCACGGTAGAGAAAGTCATTATATACCTTACGCATTATAAACCTCGGCGCTACGCGCCTCGGTTTATAAAAGCGCTCGGTATATAATGACCAACTTCTCTACCTAGGTATATAATGTACTATTATTTGTCACTCATTTGTAAAATGTCATTTATCAAGTCAAAACATAAACAACGAAAATTGATTTTTACCAGTTACTGGCTCTACTGACTTGTAAAATTGACAGCTAAACTGTAAAAACTTTTTACCTACGAGCGTGCGGTAAAGTGCACTTTACCGCACGTATTTGCAAATGGAAAGTATCACTTTACCGCATAGTGTGCGGTAAATGTTAACTTTACAGCATAGTATGCGGTAAAGTTAACTTTACAGCATAGTATGCGGTAAAGTGGACTACAAAGTGTGCGGTAAAGTGCACTTTACCGCATAGTGTGCGGTAAAGTAGAATTTGATATTTATAATCAAAAATCCTTTTTTTTCCAGAAAATGGATTTTTGATAATTTCTAAATCTAATCTTGTTTCATTAATTAATCTGATTCAATAATTAATTTTATCAATGCCCTTTTTTGGAGATGTAGATGCTCATAGGTAAAATTTTGTACCTAACACATGCGGAAAGTGCCTTTACCGCCCTTAACGGCTTGACCAAACTCCGCTTCGCGTCGTTCGGTCAACTGCCGTTGCGTGCGGTAAAGTATCACTTTCCGCATTTGTAAGGTAAATAACTATTACAAGTCAGTAGGGTCAGAGAATTATTTATTAAAATTGTATTAATTTTTTATTTATTGTTTAAGATTGTTTACAAATGAGTAACAAATAAATTATTGTATATCATACGCCAGGTATCAGTTTTTCCTGACTCTTGAAGGTGACAAGCTCGCCTGACGGCTCGCTAGCTGACTAATTTTGACTCGCTCTATGGATTTAAAAAGTCAAAATTGAGAAAAATTGAAAAATACAAATTTTTAATTTTTTTCTAAGGGTAACCCCTTTGGATTTTTATTTGCAAATTTTCAAATTTGAATATCTCGGTAACCATAAACGGTACTGGAACAAAATTATCAGGAATTGTAGATCTTGGAAGGCCTCTTCCAAAGCTCTTTTGAATGATATTTAGCTGAAGTCGCTAGCTTTTACGGTTTTTGAGAAAATCGAGTTTGAAATTTTAGTCAAAATTTCGATTAAAGTTTAACTTTGAGCTTCAATATCTAGCAAACCAAATGCAGTATTGGTGCCAATTTCACAGGATTTATAGAGAATTTAATTCTCTTTCCAACCATATATAATTTAAATACGTTTACTCAATTTTAATTGAAGATATAAGAAACTATTCATGAGCATGTCAAGATTTCAAAAAACTTCTAGAGCTAAAAATGAGATTTCCTTTTGGATTTTTGTTACCTGGTCGAAATTTTCAAACTCAATTGATGTTAGAGTTGTTTCCTATTAATTTTGACCTGCTCTATCGATTGAAAAAGTCAAAATTTAAAAAATATAAAAAATTAAAATTTCGATTTTTTTCAAGGAGCTAAAACCCCTTTGGATTCTGATTTCAAAATCTTTAAGTTTCAATATCCACGAGAGGTATTCAATCAAAATTTTCAGGAATTGTAGCTCCTATTAAACTTCGAAAAAACCTTCATTGGAAAATATTTCTAGATTTATAGTTTTCGAGAAAATTGCGCTTAAAGTTTTGGACTAAATATCGACTAAAATTCAAGTTTAATGCTCAATTGCTTAGAAAGTATTCGAGTTATCAAACCCAATTTAGCACATATTTATAGAGAATTTAATGCTCTTTTCAATGATGTATAATTTATTCTGATTTGCTCAAATTTTAATGGAAAGATTGCCAATTTTTCTTAACCTTGTCATGATTCAAAAAAAAAAAATCAGAACCAAAAAATTAAATTTTCTTTTTAATTTTTTCATCAATCTCAGTCTTGTACAGGGTCACTGAAAAGATACAATAATTAATGATAAAATTGATCTGTTCTTGAGCTGCTGGTATAAAGTTCAAATTCATCAGGATTTGAACAAAATTAACCAGCTTTCTAATGGGTTATCTTGGATTTCTCTCAAATATTAAAATTCTAATTATCCAATTTTTCAGTTTGCATCATTCCATCCTAATTCAAAATCAATTGCACTTAAACTCAAGCTAAATTTGGACCTCGAAGAAGATGACAGCAAAGAAATAGGTAAGTTATTGTCTATTCACAATCTGTAGTCCAAAGGTACAGGTAAAATGTATCAAATAAATTTACTTGTACCTTTGAACTACAGATTGTGACTAGAATATACTATTGTCATTAAACAAATTCGCTAAATAATGAATTACAAATCTATTACAGAAATTAAATCTGAAGATTTATCAAAATCGCACCCCCACAGGCACAAACACGAAAAGCCCAACAATCTACAGCATGAAGAAACTAAAGTACAACATTTTTTGGATCCAGCATCTGAAACTCCAGGCAAACCAAAAATCGTCATAACTAGGAGCAATTTTCCAGACGAAGCCACAGAAGATGAAGATTATGATCCAGAATATCCATATTTCGAAATTAAACTTTACATGCAAGAAAGGCCGCATTTACAGAAGTATTTATCTCCACCTATACCGCAAATAGGTATGTAATTTGATTCGTCACACTGTCAAGAAATTACAAAATTATTTCTAGGTAATAGATTGGGTATTACACAAGATGACTTGGAAGAGGGAGAGACTTTATGCAGAAGCCGCATAAATTTGAATTATAGGCCGCGAAAATTGAAAAACAACAACAACATGCATCGAATCATTGTAAACGATGAAGAGTATCAACAATTTATGAGAACAGAGATATGTTCAAAGTAAATAGCAACAAATTGTCCAAAATATAAATAATATTTTTATTATTCTATAGTGAACCCAGTAGATGTCAAAGTTTGGATTTTCCCCGAACGACCACGTCTTGTGTTCAACGCTACAGTACTAGAAGACTTGTAGTTTTTACAAACGGAACTCACGATGAACTCGATGATTTTACTATACCGTCTTGTTGTGTGTGTAAAGTCAAACAAATAGATGATATTGTTAATGAAATTGAGGATAATAGCGTTGATAATAGCTATTTCAACTTTAACAAGGTTTATTCATCTTGGGATAAAGCTTTAAGTAACTATCTGTAAGGTAAATTTAAGTATCTATTTATTTATAATTCTATTGGTCAGCAGATTGCGTTCTATACCTGAGAGTTTATCATATATGCTGAATAAACCGGGGGCCCTTATTTATAAGTAATTTATTAAATTTAATTTATTGAGAAATGTGCGTGGTGTTTTATTTTGTTAATAATTAAGTTCATGCAGGGACTTATATAGACATTTTGAAAAAAGTATCTCAATAAACCTTTTCGTAACGTTGTTTAAACATTATGACTTGTCTAACCAAGTAATTCACTCTTTTCCATATCAGTAGGTATGTCTTCTAGTTGGATGATACTTTTTTTAAATGAAGCAAATTTAGATGAAAACTTCCGACAAAAAGACGGATATTTGGTCAGCTCAATCTTCTAAGTCACAGATTGAAAGTTAAAAGCTTTGTATGAAATATCCAAAAGATATTAGGTCTGGAAATCCGGATGGCCGTTTCGTTTAATGTTTTGTTTATTCCAGGCTCTTGAATTTCCCTAATTAAACAAAAAAATCCAAAGCCTAGTTTAAAGGAAATTTCAAATTTGTATGCTTTTTCTTAAATTTCAGTCTTTTTTGTATCCAGTTACCGAATTTCAATCCAATTCTCTACAAATCACTTTTCTTCTATAGTTGTTCATTGGATCCCTATTAGTTTTTCCAAACAACATCAAAATGTGACAGACTGCATTTTCATTATTCGATTCTTTAAAAGTTGATTTTCCAGAATTTCTTCTGTTGTTGTTTTTCAGTGGATCAATTTGAAATTTAGGTATGTTGAGCTCCTAACCTTCCTCTTTCTACCCCAAAAATTTCAGAATTGGGTTCTTACTAGTTTTTTCAAAAAAACACCAGAATGCGACAGACTGCATTCTCATTATTTGTTTCTTTAGAAGTTGTTTGTTCTAGAATTTTTTCTGTCGTTGTTTTTCATTAGATCAATTTGAAATTTTAGTATGATAAGCTCCTAACCTGCCTTTTTTCACCCCAAAAATTTCAAAATTCTGTCCCCCCTGGTTTTTTCAAAAAACATCAAAATGCGACAGACTGCATTTTCATTATTTGATTCTTCAGAAGTTGTTTGTTTTGGAATTTTTTCTGTCCTTGTTTTTCATTGACTCAATTTGAAATGAAATTCTAGTATGATAAGCTCCTGACCTGTCTCTTTTCGCACCAAACATTTCAAAATTGTATTCCTATCAGTTTTTCCAAAAAACATCAAAATCAAAACATTAAATTATTTGACTCTTTAAAAGGTGATTTTCCAAAATTTCTTCTGTCGTTTTTTTTCATTGGATCAATTTGTAATTTCAGTATGATCAACTCCTAATCCAGTTTTTCCAAGAAAAATATCAAAATTCGACAGACTGCATTTTCATTATTTGGTTCTTTAGAAGTTGTTTGTTCTAGAATTTCTAGTATGATGAGCTCCTAATCTCCCTTTTACCACCCCAAAATTTTCAAAATTATGTCGCCACTAATTTTTCTAAAAAACATCAAAATACAACAGACTGATGCGTTTTAATTATTTGATACTTTAGTTGTTTGTTCTAGAATTTCTTCTCCTAACTTGCCTCTTTTCACCCCAAAAATTTCGATATTTTGCCCCCACTATTTTTCCCAAAAAACATCAAAATATGACAGAGTGTATTTTCATTATTTGATTATTTAGGAGCTGATTTTCCAGAATTTTTCTGTCGTTGTTTTTTACTGGATCAATTTAAAGCTCTCAACCTTCCTCTTTTTACTTCAAAAATTTCAAAATTTTGCCTTTACTGGTATTTCCAAAAAAAACATCACAATGTGACATACTGCATTTCCATTATTTGACTCTTAGAAGTTGATTTTCCAGAATTTCTTCTGTCGATGTTTTTCATTAGATCGATTTAAAGTTTTTTTCTATCCACTTGCAAAATTTCAATGCAATTTCCCACATATTTTCCTCAAAAAAAAAAAATCATCTTTCAATGTCGTTTTTTGGAAATTCGGATTTTTCCCAAATAACATCGACATACATTTTGCCTCATAACTTTGTTAGTTTCAATTCGATCTTAATGAAATTAGGCTTCAATTAAGGCCAATTAAATTATCTACAAATCATTTTCAAATAATAATAATAATAATGCAGTTTCAATAGTTTCATAGCAACGAAACTCCAAAGTTTTTCTTTTCTCAATTTTGATAGTGTAATGAGTCTAGCATAATATTTATTTCAGCTGATGTTCTTTCCAAATGCATTTTGTGTGGATCGAAAGTAGCTTTGATTTATTTTTTTGTTTGAGTCATGAAACGTGCACTTGATTACTGTTTTAAAATTGTTGGCCTTGCATTATTTGGTCATACTTAACTGAAAATCCATAAAAATGATTTCATTTTACTGAACATCTGGATTTAAATCAAGTAAACATGATTTCTGTAACTGCTCTATAGAGTCCTGACATACAAAAAATCTTCTCGGGACTTTCTTTGGTACCTACGTTTCTAGTTTTCCAATTCAAGAAAAGTTGATCAAACAACGAAGAAATTTCTAAACAAACGTATTCCATTTCCATGATGATTTCATCTTCAAAATCCAAGCACTGTTATTTTCATTAAAGTGATTCAGCGTCTCTCCTAACATTTACACTAATGTGGAAATCAATTTTTTCAACGCCCAACAAACAAATTAACTCGATCTCTGATTAACTATAGCTATTTTAGTATACTCCTGAGGATAATTTTAGATTTGGCCTAACAAAAATGGTTAAATTTTTATTTTGGAGCTTGTAATCTACTTTCAATTAAAATTCTACCTGTTTATGATTACTTATTTAATATTTAGATTACTCACCCAAAATATTTATACAAAATGATTTGAATAAAAAAAAATATCTCAAAATGAAACACCCAGCCATTATTGTTTAGTAATCCAGATCCAGTTGTATGAATCATTAATGTTCCAAGAAAAATTGGTGAATATTTGAGTATTGCGGAAACACTTTTTTTCTAAATTGTGGTTTAACTGTTTTTTTTTTTGGGTAGGATGTCTTTTTACGCAAAGAAAATATCAATTTGCAGCCTCCTACAGCAAAATATCTGCTTTACTTTTGACGTCATATATTAAAAAATGACACACCTTTTTTTTTGTATTTTATCTTATACTTACCAAATAAGGCATTCGTAACAAACTTTACTTCTTCCAATATTACATAAATTACCTATGCATTAGAAAATGTGTTCAGTTTATCAATAATTAACTTCCGCATTTGCATAAAATTCGGTCATCAGAAAATAGTGCACTTTAATTGTTTATCACCTCTCTTACATAAAATGACCCGAATATAATTTTTTTTTTTTTTTTGTAAAATTAGCCAATTCTTCCGATTAAAAACCTTACAATGCCTCATTTTGCTGCAATTACTTTTGCAAACCAAGGAAACATTATTATGCGACATGTCGTGTTTATAATGATTTAAACGCTTTCGGATTTGAATAATAATTTTTCTTTTCATGTCAAAAATTTTGTATGTATTTATAATTTTAGTTTTTGATTAATGGCTCCCAAAAGATATATAGACTTTACGCTATTGGATAACAATTTATTAACATAGGTGCGACTACACTTTGACTTCTTTATGAATTTCTTTTATCCTAGCAATGGGCTTTTGAACTTTTATGCAGCAATTTTCCCTTCCTCCTTTATTTTATTTATGGTTTTACTCTCAATTCTTTTCTTCGTAATCGTTTTCTTCTTATTATTTGTAGTTGTTTTCTCCAATTGCTTTTCTTTTCTTTTACTGCTGTCTTGGTTTTCTGTCATATTTTTCGTCCTTCTTCTATATCTTGTCTTGGTTCTTCATTCATCAGCTTTTTTTGTCTTGTCTAATTTGTTAAATTCCAGTGATTCACAACAAAAGCTCTAGTTCTAAAGTATCTCTCTAATAGATGGCATCTCATTCAGTCAGACTTTACTCTAGCAGATCTGTTCATTTAGTTGAAAGGCACTGAAGAGATGATGTTACCAATAAAGTACTGACCGGAATTGTTTGGTAAAGAATACTTGGTACTTCTCTATTTGGATGTAATATCAATATTGCACCACTTTTCTTTCGTGTTTCTAGATCTTTGTGGGTCATAAGAATCATTCCTACTTTATCTTACATTTGAATTGTTAACTAATATATTGATCCAAAGGAAATACAACCACCTAACCGGTGACTCTCCTCTCAAAATGACGTCATAGCTCGTGCTACGTCGGTCGGTATAATTAGTAATTTTAAAATAAACAAGAATTTTTAAACAAATCCGGAGTATTTACACGCCACACCGGCCGAATTTGCGGTTATATCCGAATATAATCTTGAGCGCAACGGGGCTGTGAACCACAAACTCCATCCGTTTTAACGACATTCTTTGTGATAATTTTAACCAAAATGAAAAGTCAAAGCATTTATTTTGTGATTAGTGTTTTCATGTGTTGTACTTTAGCTGTAAGTAACCAATTCAGTCAAACTAAACATTTGGCTCAATCAATTTCTATTCCAGACTCCAATAAAAGAACCCAAATTACTGAAAACCAAAAACCGTTTCAAGCCGAAATTCAATCCATCCTCTTGCACGTTTTCGCTGGGCATTTGCAACAGAACGGACGCTTATCCGATCAACGCGATCCAGAGATTAGTGAAACGGAAAAAGAATTTACAATTGTTCAGTAAAGTGTCGCTTATTGAACCGGCCAGCGATTTTCCATTGCCGCAAGTTCGAAATACGATCGAGCCGGATAATTTGTGCCGGACTCAAACCGTTACGATTTTGCCGAAAGTTGGATACGATTTGCAATCTGGAGAACATCGGTTTATTATTAATATTAAAGATTATGTTCAGACGGTTGTTTATGAAACTTGTGTGTAAGTATATACTACCTACCTAACTTACTGTAAATTCTGTTATTTTCAATTTCTTTGTTAACTGTTCAATTTTGAGAAAAAATTGGTAGGCAATTGAAGAGCCAAGACATAAAAGTGATCAATTTTCTGATTTTTACACAATCTATATTATCCAGCAACTGATTGTCTTCTTTCCTTTATCAGACTGTATTCATTCACTTCTTCCATAAATGTCCTCTCATATAATTAGGTATTTCTAGCAATTTTGAGGATGTCATCCCGCCAACTTTTTTGAGGTCTTCCAAGTCTTCTCTTGCTCTCTTGCGATTCTCAAAAATGAGAAACAGCTAACTAATTTACCAGATATTTTCTCACATATCTCTGAGAATGGGAAACTACCCACACCTACCCAACATAAATCCCATAGAAATTATTGCGAATGAGAAACAATTAGCAGATTTTGTAGAGATATTTTCATTTTCTAAAAATAAGGAACTTCATAACAGAGATTCTCTTTGATTCTTCTTCTTCTGATTATCAGCAAATTTTCATATTCACTCCGGAATGTAAACTTCTTGCATATTTTTTCAGCAATTTTCTAAATCTCATCTTTTGAGGTCTTCCACTTTTTTTTTGGTTTTTTCAGGTATTCTCAAGAATGAGAAACCACTAACCAAGTCAACAGACATATTTGAGAATGAGAAATAACTAGTAGAGTAGGGAGATTTTCCTTTTCCATGAATGAATAACTGCATGACAAATTCTCCATAATTTCGTAAACGGATATTGATCAAAATATGGACTATCACCGGCTCTTGATTGCTACTCTAGAGTAATTTTCCTGCGAATCAAAACCAGAGAATAGTCCCAAATATTTTCCCAGTGAATCAAGATCCAGAGAAAATCATAATTTGGATTATTATCTAGTCTGGATTGCCACTAGAGCAATTTTCCAATGAATCGAGACAGAGATTTGGACTATTGGTTCTTGATTGCTCCTAGACTAGAGCAATTTTCCAGTGTATAGAGAACTGATAAAAATCCCATTTTTGACAATTTTCCAGTGAATCGAGTGTCAGTAAAAGTTCAAACTTCGAGTATTTCTGGCTTTGAATTCACTGGAAAATTATACACTGACAGCCATGAGCTAATAATAATCAAAATATGGAGTATTACCGGCTCAATTGGTGGCTACTCTAGAGCAATTTTCCAGCGAATCGAAATCAGAGAATAGTCCAAACATTTTCTCAGCGAATCAAGATCCAGAGAAAATCATAATTTGGATTATTACCTACTCTGGATTGACACCAGAGCAATTTTCCAATGAATCGAGAGCCTGAGATTTGAACTATTGGTTCTTGATTGCTCCTAGAGCAATTGTCCAGTTTATGGAAAACTGGTAAAAATCCCAACTTTTAAATTTTCCCAGCGAATCGAATATCAATGAAAGGTCACAATTTGAATATTGCTGGCTCTGGATTCATTGGAAAAATGATACAATGACAACCGTGAACTGATAATAATCACAATATGGACTATTACCGGCTCTTTATTGCTACTCTAGAGCAATTTTCCAGCGAATCGAAACCAGAATTGTCTAAACATTTTCTCAGTGAATCAAAATTCAGATAAAATCAAAATTTGGATTATTACCTACTCTGGATTTCCACCAGAACAATTTTCCAATGAAACGAGAGCCGGAGATTTGGACTATTGGTTGCTCCCAGAGCAATTGTCCAGTTTATGGAAAACTGGTAAAAATCCCAACTTTTAAATTTTCCCAGCGAATCGAATGTCGGTGAAAGGTCACAATTTGAATATTGCTGGCTCTGGATTCATTGGAAAAATGATACAATGACAACCGTGAACTGATAATAATCACAATATGGACTATTACCGGCTCTTTATTGCTACTCTAGAGCAATTTTCCAGCGAATCGAAACCAGAATTGTCTAAACATTTTCTCAGTGAATCAAAATTCAGATAAAATCAAAATTTGGATTATTACCTACTCTGGATTTCCACCAGAACAATTTTCCAATGAAACGAGAGCCGGAGATTTGGACTATTGGTTGCTCCCAGAGCAATTGTCCAGTTTATGGAAAACTGGTAAAAATCACAACTTTTAAATTTTCCCAGCGAATCGAATATCGGTGAAAGGTCACAATTTGAATATTGCTGGCTCTGGATTGATTGGAAAAATGATACAATGACAACCGTGAACTGATAATAATCACAAATATGGACTATTACCGGCTCTTTATTGCTACTCTAGAGCAATTTTCCAGCGAATCGAAACCAGAATTGTCTAAACATTTTCTCAGTGAATCAAAATTCAGATAAAATCAAAATTTGGATTATTACCTACTCTGGATTTCCACCAGAACAATTTTCCAATGAAACGAGAGCCGGAGATTTGGACTATTGGTTGCTCCCAGAGCAATTGTCCAGTTTATGGAAAACTGGTAAAAATCACAACTTTTAAATTTTCCCAGCGAATCGAATGTCGGTGAAAGGTCACAATTTGAATATTGCTGGCTCTGGATTCATTGGAAAAATGATACAATGACAACCGTGAACTGATAATAATCACAATATGGACTATTACCGGCTCTTTATTGCTACTCTATAGCAATTTTCCAGCGAATCGAAACCAGAATTGTCTAAACATTTTCTCAGTGAATCAAGATTCAGATAAAATCAAAATTTGGATTATTACCTACTCTGGATTTCCACCAGAACAATTTTCCAATGAAACGAGAGCCGGAGATTTGGACTATTGGTTGCTCCCAGAGCAATTGTCCAGTTTATGGCAAACTGGTAAAAATCACAACTTTTAAATTTTCCCAGCGAATCGAATATCGGTGAAAGGTCACAATTTGAATATTGCTGGCTCTGGATTCATTGGAAAAATGATACAATGACAACCGTGAACTGATAATAATCACAATATGGACTATTACCGGCTCTTTATTGCTACTCTATAGCAATTTTCCAGCGAATCGAAACCAGAATTGTCTAAACATTTTCTCAGTGAATCAAGATTCAGATAAAATCAAAATTTGGATTATTACCTACTCTCGATTTCCACCAGAACAATTTTCCAATGAAACGAGAGCCGGAGATTTGGACTATTGGTTGCTCCTAGAGCAATTGTCCAGTTTATGGAAAATTGGTAAAAATCCCAACTTTTAAAATTTTCCAGCGAATCGAGTGTCGGTAAAAGTTCAAACTTTGAATATTTCTGGCTCTGGATTCACTGGAAAAATGATACACTGACAGCCGTAAGCTGATAATAATCAAAATATGGACTATTACCGGCTCTTGATTGCTACTCTAGAGCAATTTTCCAGCGAATCGAAACCAAAGAGTAGTCCAAACATTTTTCCAGTGAATGAGGATCCAGAGAAAATCATAATTTGCACTATTACGGATTCTTGACTACTACTAGAGCAGTTTTCCAATGGATCGAGAACCGGTAATTTGGACTATTTTGGTTCTTGTTTGCTCCTAGAACAATTTTCCAGTGTATAAAGAACTGGTAAAAGTTCCAACTTTTTAAATTTTTCAGCGAATCGAGTGCCGGTAATAGTTCAAATCTGGGTTCACTGGAAAAAATGCTACAGTGACAGCTAAGAGCTGGTAATCAAAATATAGAGAAATAACTCAACAAATCACACAGAGATTCTTTGTTAATGAGAAACAAATAGCAGATCTAATAGGGAGATTTTTCTTTTTCAAGAACGAGGAACTATGATAGATCTTACAGAGATTGTCTTTTTATTATCGTCCTGTTATTCTCATCCATTCCTTCTATATTCTTCCATTTCTGCTTATCCAGAGTTGTCCTCATCCAATTTCTTTCAGCAAAATCTACTAATGCTAATGAAGTTTTTCTCAAAATGTAGTGTTACAGAAACATTTTTAAAGTTACATTTTCCTTTTCAACAGAAAACCAGACGAAGAATGTATCGGAGCGGACAGTTTCCCATTCGGTTTCCGGACGCTGTGCAAACAAAAAAACAACATCGTAAGGCTCGTCTCTTTAACATCGAAAGGCAACATAGAATATGGCAAATTCATGGTACCCAGCACGTGCATATGCAGCTACTATCGCGACATCAATAATGAATTGTCAGCATTTTAGGAAATCGGAAATTTTGTGCTCAGGATACGAATGACGACATGCGAACGATACACGAACGAATACATATTTCAGTAAGTACACATAAAACGAATACCTGTCATCGGATGTCGTTGTTCGTTAAATGTGTACATGAATTTATTGTCTACCAAAGAAAATGTTTCATCCTTTATTTATTTGTATATTTATTTTTTTACTCAAATATATTTTTGTTATAAAATAAATTGTTTCAATGTGCATTTTTACCAAACGAAAACCTGGAGAGTATTTTCTGGGTTCTTGTTTACACAGTTATAAATTTAGTTGTTTAGAGTAATTTATTTACGATTTTCTAAATAATCCTGTAAACATTTTTGAAGTAAAATTAGACATCGAACTGCAGCAAATCTGTTGGGAAAATAATAAAAGCAAATTATTTCAAGGCGCAGTGCACACTAGGAAAATTGCGTAGTAGTTTTATTATATGGAAGGACAAAAAGGAAAATATTGGATTCATGTTTTCATTCAGGATCACATAAGTAATCACTGAAATAAGTGGTCATCATTATTATATGGAAAGAGTTCCAGGGATTATTGTGTTATCACAACATATTGACAGTATTTCTTCTTCAGGTGGATAATCAATAGTAATATAACTAGTGCAATGGAAATTATTGATAATTTTTGGGAAATTTGCCCGAATGCAAACGCATGAGTGCAAATTTGTCGAAAATTATAAATATATTTCCATTGCACGAGTTGTATAGTATTTTTAATACCTATTTAGAAGTACCTGTCGTTTTAGTGACAAAACGTATGTCGCTTCTTGATACACAAATAAAATGAGGTTAGGAATTTCCTATTTTTGTAGATGAAATTGACGTATTAGCAATCGACGTTCGTTTTTGTTGGTAATTTTTTGTTTCATCTGATTCGTGATTGATAAATAAGGATAGGGTTATTCTAAATGGGTATTGCAAATACTATATTTAATGAGAGAATTTCAGAAATCAAAAATTTAAATTTTTTGTCAAAAAATGTCAAAACACCAGTTTTCGCACCAGTTACTATGCAATTATTTGATAATTTGCACTAAAGTTCATTCCACGAAACGAGATAGTAGAGGTAAACAAACAGGCGGAGTTAAAAAATTCAGAGAAGGACTGCAAAAATTTGAATTTCAACTAATGACATTTATTATTGTCAGGTTGTCATATGAATCAATAAGTTTAATATCGTATTTCCTAGTATTTTACAATTATTTAAATAGTATTTGGTGAATTATTGTTAATTAGTGAGCAATTTAGATTAAAACAATATCAAGTTCAACAGATTCCGTTGAAAAATTCGTTCGGAAATATATTCAGAGAAGAGAAATACAAAACAACGTGAGACGGTCCTGCCTAGGGCGGAGTATAATCTTTTTCTAGCCAATAAAATTTGACTTGCCTGTCAAAGTTTGTTTACTTCCACTATCTCGTTTCGTGAAATAAACTTTAGTGCAAATTATCACGTAATTCCAATCTGATTGGTTCAAATCAACAATCAAAACATGTCAATTTATTGTTGGAATACCAGTTTTGACAGATGTATGAAATTCTCTATTCAAATATAATACTGATATGGAAAAGAGCAAATTGTAGAAGTAATGAATGGAACAATTTACTGTTGAATCTTTCAGCTACGATAATGTTTTCGAACTGAAGCAAAACTCACTCATTAATGTACACTTCAAGAGCGATACTGGTCCAGAAAACAGGTAGTTTACTTAGTTTTAGAAGTAATGAGTAAATTTCACTCATTCATTAATTGACTCAAAACTTATTGATAAGTGGAAAAACTTTTCAATGAATGATTGAGAGTTCCACTGACTTCTTCTAAAACTGACTCTCAACTGTGACTCACAAAAGTGTTTCATCAATGTCATAATGTTTAAACAACGTCGTCACAAGAAGCTTATTGGAAATAGGAAGTGTTCTGGTAGTATATTTGCAACCAAATTTGCTTCATTTATAAAATTATCATCCAACCAGAAGACACATAAATAACGTAACAAAAATATCAACGATATTTCCGGCATTTTTTATTATACCATATACATAGAAACGAAAAGTGAAATTTGGGAATATACGTTTGTGGTTCAGTGGGGTTTAGCATACGACACAAAACCGATGGTCAAAATCGAATTGGATGCATTATAAAAGTAGGTTGATGGTTCGCGCGCCATCGTGGTCACCATTTCTACGTATGGGTTCCAAAATAAAGTGAGAGTGAAACCGAAGAAGAAGTGCTTTCGGTTGATAGTCGCGCAAAATTTCCTTCGGAAGAAAGTAATTTTTCGTTGGTTGTGTGAGTGTTTGTTTGCATTAGTTGGCTCCTGCTCGGGGTATACCGGCTTTTGTAAATATGAAGGTAAGAGTAATTTGATTTGTTGGTTGATGAAATGTACAGGTTTTTTTTTCTCTTAAAACACAATGAACAATATTTTTGAAAAAAAAAAATATCAATTTATAAACAACAATAGTAATTAGAAAGGTACCTACTTAAATTGGTACCACCGTCACTTTTGAATGTTAATTTTTCACAGGATTCAAATTTTGAAGCTTTGGATTCTTCATAATCTTATTTGTATTCTTGTTAAATCATAATGAATTTTTAATTTTCCAGTCAATCATGAAACTCAATCCAATATTACGTTGGTATGGACTTGCCAAATTTGAACTCAAATAATTTCTTACACACATTCGAATTATATCATCTTTGCTTATAAAATGATGCAAACAAAAATACTTTCACTAAATATTAGTAAAAGCAGTTTATGGGTTCCACATCTCTTAAATTATCGTTTGCAAAGATATCGGAGCGTTAAGAGATCGGAACCATCTGCTTATGCAATCTTGGGCAAGGAATCACATGCAAATTCACAATTTATTTCTTGAAACAAAATATTTACACACAAATTGAAAAATCTGAATGAAAATATAAAGAAAATTTGAGGGCCTAGAAAAAAAATATGAAGGAAATTCACGAACCTAGAATAAATAGCTCAAAAAACATTCAAGAGTCTGGCATAAAACTTACTTATTTACTCCATAGCACTACAATCTAGGGTGGGTCTTGGCTGCCTTGACTATCTGCCTCCATCCGGGACGATCCTGGGTCATTTCCCTCCATTCCTAGTAATCTACTCCAAGGGTGGCTAGATCCTTAATGATGTTATCTCTCCATCTAAGCCTAGGTCTTCCCAGTGGTCTTTTTCCTCCCATATTCGTTTTATTATGCGATAGTTTTGGCTTTTTTGTACATGCCCTGCCCATCTTAGTCTACCAGACTTTGTTTCCTGTATGATGTCAGGGCTTTGATATATTTGGCGAGTTCTACGTTGCTTCTTATTTTATAACGCACATACTCAAAATTATAGTCATCCATGATGATGTTTTGTCTGACTCTGGCTCGCGCAGGGTTGCGTGAGACGTGCATGTATTTGGTCTTTTCTTCATTTATCCGTAGACCTAGTCTCTGAGCTTCCTTTTCGATCTTTATGAAGTTTTCCTGTATACTGACCATGCTTTCTCCTACTGCGCCTATGTCGTCCGCGTAGGCCAAAATAAGTTTGGGACTACCTGGACCAAAAACCTCTGCATTCACTGATGCTGTTCTTACCGCCTTTTCTAGTGCAAGGTTAAAAAGTACTGGCGACAACGCATCTCCCTGTTTCAGACCTCTGTTAATGTAAAATGCTTGAGTGTACTCCATCGATTTTGATACGGCTCTTTGCCCTCTCCAGGCACGAACTACACAGTCGAATCAGCTTGTGCGGGATTCCAAGTTCTTCCATAGCTTCCCACAATATTACCCTCACAACACTGTCATATGCTTGTTCAAAGTCTATATACAAGGTATGTGAGGTTTTGTTAAACTCCCAACATTTTTCTAGAATCTGACGGATAGTGAAAAGCTGGTCAGTTGGTGACCTACCGCTTCGAAAACCGCATTGGTAGTCTCTCTCTTTGGTATATGGAGAAAGACGTTGAAGGAGAATGTTTTGTAGACGTGACTTAGTAGGGAAATACCTCGATAGTTTTTACATTGCATTTGGTCCCCTTTTTTTGTGGAGTGGGATAATAACAACTTCTTTCCATTAATCGAGAATGACTTTTTGATTCCAAATTTGTTGCACGAGACTGTATATTTGTATGATAAGATTGTTCCCTCCACGTTTTAGAGTAGACTCTCTGGCAAGATATTATCTCGGCCCGCCGCATTGTTGTTCTTAAGTTTTCTAATGGCTCTAGTTGGCTCCTCCATGGATACAGGTGGGATGAGCCTCTACTGTAGGGAATACACTATATTCGGGTTTTTCCTGCGACGGTTTGTTCAGTAGTTCATCAAAGTAACCTTTTCCAAGTGTCCAGTACTTCTGCTTTGGAGGCAGTAACCGAGCCATCATTACGCTTTAGCATTGTGGCACATCTTGGGCGGAATCCGTTTTTGCGCCCCCTTACTTCAGTGTAAAGTCTCCTTGCATTGCCGTCAGTGTTGCCAATGACCCGATAATTATCGAATTCTACCATAATTTTGACTACGATTCAATAATCGATAATCTACCATAATTTATTGAAACTACAATTTTAATATAGATTTCTCAAATTTCTAGTTTAAAATTAAAAATTTATTAAAAAATTGAAGGTGGTTGTTGGTTTTAAGTGTTTTGACGTATTGGTGCGAGCACCAAACACTAGTCCCAGATTGAGCCAAAGTTTCATGCCAATAAATTTACTGGTTTCCAAAATATGGCCCTTTGAAATATTTCAAAATCAAATTCTCATGCATACCCCTTTAGAAAAATTCGAATTTTTAAATTTTCGGATTTTGCAATGTTTGACTTTAACAATCAAAAGAGGAGATCAAAATTAGTAAAAAGGCAATTTTGCAACTTTGTTTTTAGAGTTTTAAAGCCTTGTAAAATAATAAAAACGATTTTTGCAACTTTTGGGCTCAAACAAATTTCAATAATCTGACATTCTTTCACAAAGTTGCTGATTACTCGGTTATTATTGTAACAAATATAATGTAAAATTATATATTCTGAATCAGAATTAAATTATCTTCAAGATAAAATAAGATTCAATTCTATATCTTAAATACTTGTGAAGATATTGAGGCTCAAAGTTGAAACTTTACCTCAAATTTTGCAAAAGCTTCCAGGCGGATTATCTTGAAAACTAAGCCCTTGGGCTCGGAGTCTTAAATAACCTTTTTTGTAGCCCTTATTAAGAGCTACAATCGGGCAACAGATTCATGCTAATAACTTCACTGGTTCCCAAAATATGGCCCTTTGAAATATTTGGAAATCAAATTTCCATGCATCCTTTGGAAAAGTTCGAATTTTTAAATTTTTGGATTTTGCAATTTTTGAGTTCACTAATGGAAAGAGGAGGTGAAAATAAGTGGAAAAGCATTTACGCAACTCTGTTTTTAGGGATTTAAGGCTTGTAAAAAAATAAAAACGATATTTGCAATTTTTGGGCTCCAAAAATTTCAATAATCTGATATTCTTTCACAAAATTGCTGATTACTCGGTTATTATTATAACAAATATAATGTAAAATTATATATTCTGAATCAGAATTAAATTATCTTCAAGATAAAATAAGATTCAATTCTATATCTTAAATACTTGTGAAGATATTGAGGCTCAAAGTTAAAACTTTGTCTCAAATTTTGCAAAAGCTTCAAATCCGATTATCTTGAAAACGAAGCCCTTGGGCTCGAAGTCTTGAATAACCTTTTTTGAAGCTCTTATTGAGAGCTACAATTTCCAGAGTCCCCGCTAGAACCCGAAAAATGAAAATAGAGATAAAAAGTCAAAAAAGTTGACAGAAACTTTTTCTAATAATTTTTCTTGGAATCTGATAATTTTGTTCTCAAATCATGATAATTTTAAATTTGACAACTGAAAACACTGACTGCCGTTCTGAAAGTCATTCTGTAAGTTGAGTACTTTTTCTGTCTCGTGCTCTTTTTTCTTTTTCCTGATCAATTTACGTAGTTGTGTTCTCAGGATTTTTTCCTTGTAAGCTAGGCATATGTGGGTATCTAAATTTATTTGTGTCGTATTGTGCCTCATAATTTGGATTTCTTGTTCATGATTAAAGATATGCGGGCTCTTACTTTTGCCACTACCAGCACTTGATCGCTCTGCTTCGGCTCCTCTGTAACTTATCACGTCTAGTATACTGTTGCCATATCTCAAGTTGTCATTCGAAATTCACGTTTGTTTGTGTATGCGTTTGTGTGGGAACAAAGCATGAGCATGTTGCAGACTCTTTTCCAATTTTTGTGTTGTAATTGCCCAATACTATCAGCATATTATCTTGTTTAGGCACCTGATTGATAGCTGCTTGCAGGCTGTCATAAAAAGTGTCCTTTGTGTCGTCTAAAGTGGTGCAGCTTGTCTCGCACCTTTATGTAGCAAATCCTTTCGTTGACCGGCGTAAATCCAATGACTTCATTCACAAAATGGTCTTTAATGGCGAATTCTGCCCCATTTACGTGCCTTGACTCATGACCACTATAGAAAATGGTATAGTTTCCCATTTTGACGTTACCTGACCCAGTTCATCTGATTTCTTGGAGTGCGGTTATATCCATGTTATATTTTTGGAGAAACTGGAGCGTCATTGTTGCTGTACCTGGTCTATATTAGCTTAGTACATTCCATGATCATCCATTCTTATATCTGTCCGGTTCCGAGACAAAAGTTTCGGTTTTATAACAGCGGAATATTTACGGGGGTAGTAGGTTGTTATTCAACGCCCAACCCTCCTCTTTTCTCATCCGGACTTGGGACCGGCAATGGTATAAAACCCTATTGAAAATTTGAAAACTTTGGGAATGAAAAACGCACCAGCTTCTTTTACCATAGAAAATATTCAGGCACTATTTTGAACTCTTATGCAGCTTTCACAATAATCTTGAAATTTTACAGTTTTCTCTGGTCATATATATTTCAGCCGATAATGAGATTTTCATGGTTGCATTTCAAGCTACTGAAGGCTGAAATTCAGCTTTAAAAGAGCTGCAGCTGTAAGCTTCTTTTCAAGCTGCCTTATAAAATATAGCTTGTCAGCTTGAAACAATCAGAACTTAGATGCAGAAAAATCATGTAAAATTTCTATTAAATCACCTTTGAAAGCTTCTGAAAAATACTTCAAACAATCAGAGGGACTTCAAACTTTCAGGATTTATTGAGTACCTATATTCACTTGCAATATGTGTCAGTTTATCGAATGTGCCAATGACAAAATAATCCGAAAGAGGAAATTAAAAATTAAATTTGCAATTTTCTGGTCACCAAGTATGCACACACACACATAAATCAATAATTAAAGTGAAACCTAAAATAATTATAGGCATCGATAAAAAAAAATATTTAAAGATCACCTACAACATTATTGTCCTTTCTATATTATAAAAATTTGAATAATCATCGGTATTATAACTGGAAGGATTATTTGTAACAATTTAAAATAACACGTTGTCACAGCAAATAAACACGGTTTTCATTCAGGTATATATCTCTGATTTTGCAATTACTTTCAATTCAAAAAGTCCATATTACGATCTAAATGAAAAATAAATTGTAAAACAGAGAAAGCACAATAATCAAAACCAAAAATGGGATGTTTCATTTGCACTTGTGATATCTTAGTACCAAAATGGACATAAAACATTATATTGAACTATTTTTTTTTTGCAAATTTCTCTTTATGTCTTAATGATTATGGGTTCTCAAAATGGTAATAATCCAATCAATTAAAATGAAAAACTAACCCAATGATAAGCATTAAACATAATCTTGAAACTGATGTCAAATTATGCAATAAAATTGAAATAACTTTTACTTTTTTCCTGGTGATAAATACGTATCGTCAAAATTAGGTAATTTTTTGGTTAATTATAGTTGAAATTGCTCGGGTAATTTGATGATAAATGTAACCGTGATATGTAGGTTTTTGGAACATTTCCTACATAGGTATCTGTTGGAACTGTAATAAAAATCCAAATTAGGTTTATGTATATCAAAAGTAAAAGTAGTGAAATGCCATCTTCGCTTTTTGTCCCTGATAAAGATCTCTTTAATGTCCACTATTCAAATTATGTAATAAGACAACATTTATTTCCTTCTTCCATCAAAAAATTATTAACCTTTTCCTTTTACTCAATATCTATGCAAATTCCAAAAAAAAAAAAAATACATAACGATTATGTAGACAAGTTTGTCCGAACCATACAGAATACATTATTAGAGGATGTAACCAATAATACGACTATAACTTTCTCCGCTATTTAAAACATATAAGCGACTATCGACCGTGAACTTACTTTACAATAATAATTGTCCTTCCAACATCAGTCATCAATAATTATTATGTACTTTCGTTTTCACAATTGTTCTGCCCTCAGATCTCCTGTATGCTGACGTGCGCTTGTGCAATATTATCAGCTCACGGATCAGCTATTGGAACACCATTCTATCCACTCAATCCAGAAGATTTGTCCCAAGGAGATGTCAAGGAAATCGAGTATTGGAATAAACATTATTACAGGTGAGATTTATTTGAATTGTCTAAATTTCCTTTACTAACTAACAACCACATCACACAAAATTCTAACGGAGCTTAACCCGCTCCAATTCCGCTCATTTCCAGACCGAAACGTACCGTAGGCCCCGTTCTAGGATCAGCAGGAGCCTTAATACAACTAAAAACCGCAATAGTAGGGGGTGCAAAAATGAAAATCATCGAAATAGCCAAAGGCTCTGCGGGTTCCATTGCTGGAGCCTCAGCAGGAGCCTCCGCAGGCACTCAAACCGCCTTAGGATCAGCTGCCAAAGGCCTACTTGGATCTGTAGGTGGAATTTTCCAGATCAAAAATGCCTTAGAGGCGGAAATCCAGAAAAAAATCGGCCAAGCTTTTCGGAACGCTGCTGGAGCTTCTACAGGGGCAATTGTAGCAGCTTCAACTGGAGCTGGCAATGCTGCTTTTGGAACTGTATCAGGCTCTGCCAAAGCAATTCATCAATTGAAATCAGCTGCTGTTAGAAGCATTACTGGAGCATCTGCAGCTTCACATAATGCTCTGAACCAAATAAAATCAGCTACAATAAATAAAGTATTAGGTGCTTCTTCAGGCATAGCCCAAGCTTCAGGAAACGCATTAAATTCAGCCAAAAGCTCCTTTATATCAGGCATAGCTGGAGTAGCAAAAGGCTCAGCAGGCCTAGCAACAGCTGGATCAGCAGGAGTAAAAAGTACTTTACAAGGCTCATCAAACGCTATCCACCAACTAAAATCAGCTATAATCAATCACATTTTTGGCAGCAGTGCTAAAGTAGCTACAGGTGCTTCTTCAGGCATCCAAACGAAAGTTAAACAAGTTTCTGGTGACATTGTAGCTGGAGGAGTGGATGTAGCCAATCATTTAAAAACAGCAGTAGTTGCAGGCACCAAACAAAAACTTGCCCAAGCAGCTAGCGGCCTTGCAGGTGCAGTTACTGGTGCTGTGGGGTCAGCTTCAGCCGGCCTTGGACAATTTGCTCGAGGAGGAATCACTGGATCTATAAATGTTGTAAATCAAGTCAAGGAGGAAACTCACAAGAAAATTGGCCAAGTTTTTAGTGCTAGTAGCAATAAAGTTGCATCAATTAAAAATGCCCTGTTAACGCAGATTAGTAATAGTGTTGGTCAAATAGCTCTTGGATCAGCTGGAGCTGTTTCAAGTGCAAGTGGACAACTGCAAAATGCTAAAAATGCACTAGGTAATCATTTGACTAGCAAATTGAGTAATCTTGCTCGAGGAGCTATAACAGCAGCCACATCAGCTTCAAGCCAGATTTTGCAAAGTTCTAGTGGAAAAGCTCAATCGGCTATTTCAAGTTCAGCTAGTTTTGTTCAACAACTGAAATCAGCTGCACTAGGTAAAATAGGGCAAATAGTACAAGGCTCTTTGTCAGCTAGTGGGCAAGCTTCAAGTGGGATTCAAGCTGGATCAGCTAGAGCTGTTGAACAACTGAAATCAGCTGTGCTGAGCAAAATTGGGCAAATAGTACAAGGCTCTTTGTCAGCTAGTGGACAAGCTTCAAATGGCATTCAAGCTGGATCAGCTAAAGCAGTTCAACAACTGAAATCAGCTGCATTGGGCAAAATAGGGCAAATAGTTCAAAATTCTTTGTCAGCTAGTGGACAAGCTTCAAGTGGTATTCAAGCTGGATCAGCTAAAGCTGTTGAACAACTGAAATCAGCTGCACTGAGCAAAATAGGGCAAATAGTACAAGGTTCTTTGTCAGCTAGTGGACAAGCTTCAAATGGCATTAAAGCTGGATCAGCTAGAGCTGTTGAACAACTGAAATCAGCTGCATTGGGCAAAATAGGACAAATAGTTCAAAGTTCTTTGTCAGCTAGTGGACAAGCTTCAAGTGGTATTCAAGCTGAATCAGCTAAAGTTGTTGAACAACTGAAATCAGCTGCACTAAGCAAAATAGGGCAAATAGCTCAAGGTTTTTTGGCAGCTAGTGGGCAAGCTTCGAGTGGCACTCAGTCAGCTATTTCTGGGTCAGCTGAAGCAGTTCACCAACTGAAATCAGCTGCACTGTCACATGTAGCTAATAAAATAAAACAAGCAGCTCAGGGTTCTTTGTCAGCCAGTGGACAAGCTTCGAATGCTATTTCTGGATCAGCTAAGGCAGTTTATCAGCTGAAGAAAGCCGCTATAGCAAACGTGGCAAGTGCCAGCACCGGGCTGAAGAATGGAATTCATCAGCAAGTTTCCAATTTGGCAGAAGCTTCAGCTGAGAGAAGGAAAAGAAGCATTCCGGAATCGATTCCAGATGATTCTTATGTAGCAGTTGAGTTGTATGAATCCTAGAATAAATTTTAATGGTGGCGCATATCATGCTTAAAAATATTTTACTAAAGCTTCATGGCAAGTTAACTATTATTATCATATACGGAGAGTGGGATTTTATGGACATAGACTGGACACTGAAGGACAACAACAAACGACAAAAGGACTTTTTAGACTGTTGACTCTTACAGGCGCATGTTTACCTCTATCACTTAAGGCTTTATTTAATATATCATTTAATTGATTGCATTTTGCTTATGAAGCAATTGCAGTGGCGGCGATATGCATGAGCAACCCGGGCCCTTTAAGTACAATTTTTTTTTTTTAATAAAAATGCTTTAAAATAAAATTGTGAAACATAATGACCGATATCGATCCTTCCAGAAAATATTGAAAAATTACTTACTCCATAAGTCAGCATAGATTGCATGATCTTATTTCTATTCTGTCTATCAGACATAGCACAGCATCCAATATGGGAATTCGGTATTTAGTTGCTTTAGAAAAAATTTCCAATGGATAAAGAAGTCATAGATAATCAAAATTTGAACTGCTACCGGCTTCTGATTCTCTGGAAAACTTTCCTGGAACCAATCAAGAGCCGGTAATAATAAAAATTTGAACTTTTATCAACTCTGGATTCACTAGAGAATTTTTTTTGGGGCATTTAAAGCTCAAGAGTCGATAATAATCAAAAATTTTAATGAGTCATTAGCAAGTTGATATGAATCAAAATTTCTCCTTCTGCAGCTTCTAAATGGTTCAAGAAAAAATTATCCATTGGTTCAAGAGCCACATATAATCAAAATTGGAACTATTACCGGCTCTTGATTCTTTGGAAAACTTTCCTGGAGCCAATCAAGAGCCGGTAATAGTCAAAGTTTGAACTTTTATCAACTCTGGATTCGCTAGAGAATTTTTCTTGGGGCATTCAAAGCTCAAGACCCGATAATAATCAAAATTTCGAATAATCATTAGCAGCTCTTAAGTTGATGAAAAGCCACCTGTGGCTCTCAACAAATTATAGAATACAAAAAATCTTGTTTTTTCATTGCAAGGGTAGGGGGGCTTAATTGTGATATTTCCTTAGAGGCCCAGTGCATTCACTCGCCGCCACTGAGCAATTTAAGATTAATACTTTCATATGGCTGTAATTTGAAATTAAAAGCTTCTTTTGCTACGTCATCAATTTTGTTTTCCATCAGCAACTAAACATAGTTTATTGTTTCCAGACCAAAAAGATCAGAATCAGCTTGGTCTTCAGGCTCCGGTTCAGGATCTGCCGATTTAATCGGCCAAATAAAATCGGCAGTTGTGGCCGGTTTGAAGCAAAAACTGGGTCAAGTTGCTAAAGGATCTGCCGGTGCTATAGCAGGAGCATCTGCCGGGTTCAGCAAAGGAAGTTCCGGAGGTGGAGATCATCATTATCACTACGAATCATCTCCTCATCACCATCCTCCTGTAAGTGATTAATTTCAAATTGTTCCAATAACTAAATTGTTTGATGTTTAGCCTGATGAACATAAGACTTACAACGTTTGGGAGTTGAAAAAATCAGTCCTAAACACGTTGCTGCAAGCAGTGAAAGCCATCAAAGGTGGGGTATTAGCTATAAAAGGGCAACTAATTAAGGGCAGTGGCTACTTGGTGTCAGCCGGCGGCAAATTGATTGCCGCCTCCGGTGATAAAGTGACGAAATTGGGGAAAAATGTAATATCCAATGCGGTTTTGGTGCATCCTAACAAAGAACATTATAGTACACATTCGGGTAAGACACAATCAGACTATTTTTAACAAATAATAATTATTGAAATTGTGGTTTAGATTATGTGTCACATCCTAGTGGATATACGGCTCCAAGTGGACCACCAGCTTATGATGCTCCACCATCATCTTCGGGTCATGGTTATGAGAGTCATTATGAGAGTCATCCATCACATTATGGTAAGAGATAATGAAGATACACTTGTTAAATGGATAGGAACTTTGTCAGTTATTTTTTGATGTTAGAAATAATAAGGATGAGCCAAAAACACAGCATTAAAATAATGAGTTGTATACTCAAAATTTGAAATATAATTACATAATTATTCCCGGCTATTGTTTGGACTATTTTGCAGTGATTTGGATTGTTTTCGAGACTTGAAACTTGATTAGGAGTCATTAGGAATAAGCAACAATAATCATACAGTTTTGTATATGTAATTTGGTAGTTACCCTCTCTTAATCTTAATTACAAATACATAAGTACACATTAAAAATAATCTTCTGTTTAACAGACAACACATTCAAAACATCATGCATAACCCTGATAGGAGTATATCGATTGCATTTCAGAATCACCCTCATAGTATACACTTCTGTAGTTTTTGGATCTGCTCCACCTTGAAAGGCATTGCATACGAACGTATAGAACAAAACTGTAAATGAGGTAGTGCAATGGTATTATACAATAACATCCTTTGTGTCAAACGGGATAGTTTGTAATGTTTGTATTCCCCATCCTTGAAAGAAAATCAACCTTTTTGGAAAATTCTCTCATAACATATAGTCAACATGAGCTTGGAAATTTAAATTTGAATTCAAAATTTTGTTTTCATGTGCGAAAGCTCCATTATTCAGGCTGATGTTTATGTTATCTACATCAATATCCCTTATTCTTGTTCTTTTACCAAACACAAAACTTAGATTTCTCAACGTTGATGCAAATATTGTTATCACATAGCCATCAAAATAATCTATTCAAAATTGGTAGTTATATGGATCTATATAACCATCATCAGGCCTATGCTTACCTATGGGGCTATTTTCTGGGCACATATAAGGACAAACAATTCTGCAGCGGATGGTACAATAAATACAGTGCATAGAAACTTCGAATTTGTTGAGCTTAGTACAAGAAATAACAAACTTACATAGTTCTGGACACACTGCACTATTTTGATTTTATATTTAACGTCAGTTCTTATTAGGGTCTTGACTCTTCCAGTTCTTGGGTTAGTTATTATTACACATTGTTCCAAATTATATCCATCATTCTTCAAGTTCTATTGGATCAAAATTTCCAGTCACATAGGTTTTTGATAAGAACAGTAATCTTGGTTTCCAATGTGTAACCTAAACAGTAATATTGTCTTTATTGTTGAGATAGTTCTGGCAATTGAAACACGAGTTCAGGACAATATTTGCATCTAAAATCTGTTTTTTTTTTAAAGATAAAAGTCAAAATGACATTATGTTGGCAATACAATGTAAAATTGTCAATGCTTTCAATTTTTTTATATACAAAAGGCTTGTGTTGCCAACATAGTTACTAAATTTTTGACTTGGGGAATTATCTAAAAAAAAAACATACTTTAACTGCTACCTAATAAATTTGTTTCCTTGAAGTCGCTAAATTCTTTGGTAGGTTTCACACTTTATTCACATCCCATAGACACAACATGGACAATATTCATGTTCAGACCATATTTCCTGTTTGATAATTCACAATTGGAACATTTAACAATATCACTGGAACAATCTTTATAATCATATTCATTACTGCATTTAGGGCATACTTTCTTTAAGTTACAGTCTTTCACTTAATGACCATAACGACAACATTTGAAGCATTAACGATACCATAATCATCATGTACCCAACCCAGCACCGATTCCACCCAATATTCATTCTCTGTTTTTCTATTATAGTATATTGTAAGTATTGCTGTCAACTTCAAACACAAATATTGAATCTACTATCATGAATTTTTGATCTGTACCTTATTTTTACCTTTGTAAGGTAAAATCAAGAATAAATAAAATAAATAACCGCTCAAAGTATAAGCGATGTAAACCTAGTCATCTATTTTATATGGGTTTGAGAAGGGTTTGAGGTTCACGCAGATGGCGCTAGTTTTGTCATTTCATTGACATTGACTACGTTTACATCAGAAGTCAAATAAACTACTAAAACAGAAAAATGACTTCACTCTGTTGAAATACAATTTTCCTGGGAATATCATGGTTCTGTGCCAATCTATCTTCATTCATTCAACCTAATATAGTATTGTAGAGTAAACACTATTTTGACTTTGGTTCTACTAGGAGAACTGTGAAATTTAAAATTCTGGTAATATTCTCATGTCTAGAATTAGCTGTCCTAAGGCGTAAAAAGATCTTTAAGTTCCTAATTTAATTTAGAAAAATGAACATTTTTACAAAATACTGGTAGCAACCATGGCCTCCGTGGCGCAATTGGCTAGCGCGTTCGGCTGTTAACCGAAAGGTTGGTGGTTCGAGCCCACCCGGGGGCGGCACTTTTTTGTATTCCAAAAATATCTTAATTCACTTTCATTTTATTAATATTCATTATCTTGAATTCAGTCAAAAAATACATTATAAAGTCTGCTAAAAATTTCAAGAAACCAAGAATTTTAGCAGGAAATATTTTTTTACAAGAATTATTTAAAACTTAAAAGAGAAAGCACTTTATCACTATTGAATTTATCACGACAAAACAACGTGACTTCTTACTAATTATAAATTATTTTCCTTTTCAAGACAAACCCTCCGGACCGAATCACGCAGGAATACTCATCCTAAGAAGAATGCCACAAACTCACGACAAGTACCACTCCGCACATTCAAACGTTGACGAATCCGTAGTACCACCGTTCAAACCTTTAGCACCTGCTGGACCAACTTTCGGTACTGTTGTAGGAAAGTTCTTTTCTGCATCAACTTCTTTGAGCCCTTCTGCCCCTGCTCCTTTCAGCAACGCTGATATTCACCCTTATGAGCATCATAACAATGCTGTAGAAGAGAGTCACGCTTATTTGAATCCACCTAGTCCACCTCATTACGAGGAACCACCTAATAATGCTGCCCCAGCTAATTTTCAAGCACCATTAAACCAACAAGATAATAACTATGGTTTGCCTCAAGAAGATCCTTTGAGTTACCAAAATTTGAATTTCAACGATCATTCTGGTTCAGCTTCTTCGGTTGCCGAGCAAAAAGTTAAGCTGACTAAAGGTGAATTGAACGATCGTTTGCCTATAGCTAGTTCAGAAGTTCATGTAGCTGATGATGCTCCTGCTAGTTTGCAAGCATTAAAAACTTCTGCAACATTAGGACCACCTTTCAGTACTAATTTTATGTCCATCAAATCAAAACCCAATCAAATTAATTATTTGAGAAATGCTTTATTTGCTGAACAAGAAAAGCAAGTGGAAAGTGTTAACTTTTTACCTCGCACAGAAGAATCTTATTCAAAATCGAATGAATTATTGTCGAGTAAGGAAAACTACATGAAATTTTTAGAAAATTTTCCTGTTCGTACCAGGAGTAGAAGGCCATCATCAGACTTGGTGAAGTCAATTTCCTATAAATTGACCCCTGAAGGAGTTACAAGACTGACTTGAGTGAGTAGGACTTTTAAGACCATAGACTGTGTACTAACTCATGCATATAGACGTATACTCACTTTAACTAACAAATATTTCTGTTTTTATTTTAATTTGTTTTGGATTTATATTAATTAATAATTTGTTTATTTTAGATGCCCTTCCAACCCAATATCTTCACGAAGAGAACATGTTATATTAAACTATTTTGTAAATAGTTAAGTCGAAGCAATTAGTCACTAGTTTTAAGTTTTTATGCATTTGTTTGTCGAGATATTTTCGATTTTTGACTGTAGATTTGTAGTAAAGGGTCAGTGATTGTATTTTTTAAGATTTTTAAATTTATTTATTTTCCTAATTTTATCTGTGAGCCAAATTTTATATACATATTTTGTTATAATAAAAAAGTTACTTAAAAGTTGACTTTCCATTAATAGGTATAAGTGACTATTTTCAGATTTGAATTTTTTTTTCAATTTTTGAATTTAGAATTTACATATACGTTAAAAATATCAAATGACAACATAAAATATTGAAAACTGGAAAAGATGAGTGCTGCGGTTTGGCAGGGTTTTGACAGGTGTTAAAATGGTTGACATTTTTCGACTTAACTTGGTCGACTTAGTAGAAATAGATTTTTTGTTCATCAAAATCTGCCATAGTTACTCTGCTTTTGGATATAAGATTCCAATATTTGACAGCTAACCACGCCTCACCTGTCATATATACAGGGTTGTGCCCATGGTAAAAAATGTTGCTTACGACATCCCAATAACATATTTAAATTTCATCCAAATATCACGGGTAACCAATTTCCATTTAAATATTGCGGGGTCTGTCATATTCCTCCATAATATCATGACATTGTACCTTTTACGACCCTCGAATACTTTCCCAAATAATGTCTCGCCGTCGCCGAAAGCAATATTATTATATGATCCAGACTTTCTGTTAAAGAACCCAAAGATATTGTATGTAAATAAATTAACCATTTGTCCACCATAAACCCCAAAATTCCCAAATATCCTTAATGGTCATTCTTTGGGCGAACAGACTGTCATTTATTGCCAATATTTATTTAGGGTTTTCCAGTTGTAATTATGTAGGTTTTAGAAACGTTTTAGAAGGGATTTAAAGGTCGATTTGTAAGAAATCTAGTGAAGCAAGAAGACAGTCTTAAGACAGCTTCAGTCGTAGTAACACATTTTGTTAAAACTCTCTCTAAAATAAGTCTTACTTTTGCTGTAGTTCAATTTCATTCTATATTCCATTACCTAATAAAGCTACAAGTTTCAAACCGAAAACAAAAGTAGTTTTAACCAAGGCAAAACACTGAAGGATCACAACAGATTTTGGCGCAGTCGGTACGATTCAGAAGTATCTAGCAAGATCCAGCAGGATTTGGATACAAAGATTCAAGACATACCATAGTCAGCCAAAGCTATCACCAGCGTTGACCAGTATTGGATTGAATCACAGTTGTTGTGTAACCACTAGCTTTCAAGTTTTTTGGTAAGTGATTTTTGTCTCTTAATGAGGTTACTTTTGTTTGTCTAACTCCTTTATTAATACTTATCTGCCACTATGACTCCTCCTGCCGTAAACCCAGACCTACAAACAATATTATTAGAAACTTTTCAAAACATTTTTAATCAACTTCCTTCGTCAAATTCCAACCCAAATAATGGTAGGTTTTCCGTAGATTTTTTATGCAAACTAATACCTAATAGTTTTGATGGCAATCGTCTTGAATTAGGGCAATTTTTAGCGAATTGTAATAATGCCAATGAATTAGCACAGGACGATCAGAAAAATCCTCTTTTATATTTTATTTTATCTCGAATCGGTGGCAAAGCTAAAGAACAGTTAGCTACCCAAAACTTTGATAATTGGGATACCTTAAAAGACGCTTTAAAAACTTTATATCAAGACAAAAAACATTACGTTCAATTAATGGAAGAGCTAAATAATTGCAAACAAAGTCCTAACGAATCAGTGAAAGACTTTTTTCAACGTTTGGAAACAATTAACTCGCGATTGATATCTACTACTCAACAAAATTGCACAGAACCGGAAGAGATTCCTGGAAAACTGAAAATGTTGAACGAAATTGCTTTAAATAGATTTATTTATCATTCGAAACCCGAAATTTCGCGAATGTTGAGATGGAAAGATTTTGATTCGATTAATTCTGCGTATAGTGCAGCTATTTCTGAAGAACGCGCTGTGGCTATGTCGCGCAGTTCAACTCAGTTTTGCAAAAATTGCAAAAACAACTCGCATTCTACAAATAATTGTTTCAAAACAAGAAATCATGATGCAAACGTAAGAACTTTGTTTACGAATAATCAGATATTTTGTCGTTACTGCAAAAAACAAGGGCATGTTATTGAAGAATGTAGAAAAAGACAATATAATAATAATGCAGGAAGATCTAATAATTCGATGAATTTCCATGTTAATTGACAATATACTAACCAATCTCATCAAAACTCTAATTCCCAAAACTCAAATTATCAATGTAATAATAGAAATCCAAACTCTAACTTCCAAAACTCAAACTATCAACATAATAAAAGGAATCAAAACTCTAATTCTCAAAACTTAAACCAAAACTCGAGCAATCAAATTAATAGAAGACCTTATCGAAATTCGACAAATCATAATCCAGTTTTTCGCGACTCACCTCATACGAATTCAAGGCAGAACGCAAACGTTAATTCAATTCAATACAATTCTAATGTACCAAATTATCAACCAAGTCATTCAAATTCTTTAAACTCCAACGCTCCTCCAATGACGAACACCTCACTGGAGGATCATCTCAAAACTTTAGCGGTGTTCGAGAACGACGAGAACTAACAATCTTTCTTGCTGAAAATAGCTCAAGTTTCATTGAACTAGAAAGTAAATATTCAAAAAATCAAAACAAAAAACTCCGATTTTTACTTGATACTGGTGCAAGCTGCTCATTGATAAAAGCCAACAAACTCAATCCTGAGATAACTAAATTTGTTCCTTCAGAAAAAATATCTCTTCATGGACTCTGTCCTAATTCTCCAATTCAAACAGTTGGAACTAACACTATTCCTTTTAACATTAACAATCAGATTCTGAACATAAAATTCCACATACTAAATCAGGCTACAAACGTCCCTTATGACGGTCTAATTGGATTGGATTTTATTCAAGATCAAAACGCAAAAATCGATTTTAAAAAACGAACTCTATCTCTAAACTCATTGCCATTTCAAATCCCTATCGGATTAAACGCTAATCCTAACACTGGTTCTTATTTTGTTCTCAAATCTCGTACGGAAACAATAATAGAAATCAACGTTCTAAACCAGGAAATAAAAGAAGGGATCATACCAGATATGGAAATATCTAAGGGAATCTATTTATCCCGAGCATTGACTAAAGTAAATTCAAATAATAAAGCTTTTGCAACAATCTTAAACTCAAAAGTAATTGATTTTCAATTAAAACCTATTTCAATCTATTTAGAACAGATTCCTAAAGAAAGCTACTGTTATTTTGCTTCGGAAAAAAGTACTGAAAATAATTTTATTAAAAATAGGAGCCAACTATTGAAACAAAATCTTAGATTAGACCATTTATACCAAGAAGAAAAGAGCTTCATAACTAATCTTTGTGAAAATTATGAAGATATTTTCTTTCTACCTGGAGATACCCTTGGTTATACTAACACTATTAAACATGAAATAAACATCTCTGATTCTAAGCCCATTCATACAAAAACGTACAGATACCCAGAAATTCATAAAACCGAAGTTAATAAACAAATCAATAAAATGTTACAACAGGGAATAATTCAACCGTCTGCATCGCCTTGGTCTGCCCCTCTATGGGTAGTACCAAAAAAAATGGACGCTTCGGGGGAACAAAAATGGCGCGTAGTGGTTGATTTTAGAAAATTGAATGAAGTTACAGTTGGTGATGCATATCCAATGCCAAATATCGAAGAAATTTTAGATCAATTAGGCCATAGTAAATATTTCACCACACTCGATTTGGCTTCTGGTTTCCATCAGATTCCAATGAGAGAAGAAGATAAACCAAAAACCGATTTCACTACACCTTTAGGTCACTGGGAATTAAATCGAATGCCTTTTGGATTAAAAAATTTACCCGCTTGTTTTCAAAGACTAATGAATGCAGTTCTTACTGGTTTACAAGGGTTACAGTGTTTCGTTTATCTAGACGACATAGTTATTTATGGATCAGATCTAAATCAATATGTCTCACGTCTTGAAGCGGTTTTCGACAGACTCAGAAATAATAATTTAAAGTTACAACCCGACAAATGTGAATTCCTCCGTAAAGAAATCTCTTATCTCGGTCATATCATTTCTGAATCAGGAGTAAAACCAAAACCAGAAAAAACTATAGCAATAAAAAACTTTCCCATTCCTAAAAATCAAAAAACAGTAAAAAGTTTCCTAGGTTTAATTGGATATTATCGTAAATTTATCAACAATTTTGCAAAAATTGCTAAACCATTGACTAATCTTCTAAAGAAAAATGTTGCTTTTATTTGGTCTCAAGAATGTCAAGAATCTTTCGACACCTTTAAAGAAATTCTAATAAATGAACCTTTACTTCAATGTCCAGATTTTTCAAGAGAATTTATTTTGACGACCGACGCTTCAGACTATGCGATTGGTGCGGTCTTAAGTCAAGGTGAGATCGGGCAGGACTTACCTATTGCATACGCAAGTCGTACGTTAAATTCTGCCGAACAAAATTATACAACTATGGAAAAAGAATTATTAGCAGTAATTTGGAGCATTAAACATTTTAGATGCTACCTATATGGTAGAAAGTTTAAAATTGTAACCGATAATAAACCAATCACTTGGCTTTTAAACTGTAAAAATCCCGGAAGTAGACTGATTAGATGGGGATTATTACTTAATGAATACGAATTTGAGATTATTCATAAACCAGGAAAGTTTAATACTAACGCAGATGCTTTATCTCGATGTCTAAATATCAACATTATTTCTAAAAATGATACCTTTGAAAATTTTATAGAATATCATTACAAAACTTTAGATATCAATCCGCAACTTGAAATAAAAAATGGAAATCTATTCGATTTTTTTCCAAACGCAGTTTATTTCTCTACTGATTTGGACGAAAGTAATCAGTTTTCAGAGTCCATAAAAAACAAATTCGATTTCAACGATAGCATAAAATCAAACTTTGAATTATATTCAACTTATAAGTAACAAAATAACAATAAAAAATCCTATTTAATGTTCGTGAAGACTTTTCATTTTGAAAATATTTCTTATAAAGACGTTTTTTATTCACTCCGGAACTTACGTACTGAACTAATCAGAGATAATATAAATTACTTCTATTTACCTGACATAACGAAAAATTCTCCAAATTTAAAACAATCAATGTATTTTGAAATGATACACTATCTTTTCAAGGACACGAATATAAAAATATGTGTTATTAGTTCAGAAAAAATTATTATATTAGTTCAAAAGAGGAAATTTCCGCAATTCTAAAAGAAAATCACGATTCAAAACTAGCAGGACATTCAGGTTTTACAAGAACATATAAAAGGATAAAAGAACGTTATAAATGACAGAACATGAAAACTGACATAAAAAAATATATAAAAAAATGTCCTTCTTGTCAAATAAACAAAACAAATTTCAAACCCAGTAAAGCTCCTATGATGATAACAACAACTAGCGAAAAGCCTTTCGAAAAACTTGCTATTGATATAGTTGGACCTCTTCCAATTACGGAAAACGGATCTAGATTTCTCCTTACGATGCAAGACGATTTAACGAAATATTCGTATGCCATTCCTATACCGAATCATGAAGCAATAACAGTATCAAATGAATTATGCAAATTTATAACTTTATTCGGTATTCCCAAAACTATTTTATCTGATCAAGGTACTGATTTTATGTCCAATTTAATAAAAGAACTCGTAAAATTATTTAAAACTAAGCATGTCACAAGCACACCCTACCACCCTGAATCTAATGGCGCTTTGGAGCGTTCACACCTTACTTTGAAAGATTATTTAAAACACTACATTAACGACAAACAGAACAACTGGGACGAATTTATACCTTTTGCAATGTTCGCTTACAATACACATACTCACTCTTCTACTAACTATACACCATATGAACTATTATTTGGATCCAAACCATTTTTGCCAAGCTCTATAACTAGCAGACCCGAATTTAAATATTCACATGACGATTACATAGGCAACCTAAAACTCAAACTTAACATAACTCAAGAACAGGCACGTAACAACATCTTGAAATCAAAAGAAAAATCGAAGACTTATTACGATAACAAAATAAAAAAAAAATCATTATAAAATAGGAGATATGGTTTACATTGTAAATAAACATATTTCCCCTGGTCTAAATAAAAAACTGAGTCCTAAATTTAAAGGCCCATATAAAGTCACTAAAGTTTTCAATAACAATAATATTCAACTACAAATAGGAAAAAAATTTATTACGTATCATACTAATATGATAAAACCTTTTGTTTCGGATCAAAGCAACAATGATTAACGCTAATCTACTGTTCCTACTTGTACTAACTTCCATTTCCGTTTGTGTTAGAGGCGATAACTATCACATTACTAATCTCCACGATCATGCCGGTATTTATTATAATAATCTTGGCCAAGTTAAACTTTCAAATTCTAAATTTGTCCTATTTACTCATCTTAATGTAACTGGATATGAAAAGAAAATAAAATTTATTTCTGGAATATTGAAAAAGTCATTCGATCTATGTTATAGTAATGAAATTGTTGAATCTGAAAATTTTCTATGCAAAGATACTATAAAAGTCGTCCAATCTCGGTTTAATAAATTGCTCGGAAAATCTGAAGTTGTCAGCGAAATAATCGGTACTAATACGAAAAAGACTAAAAGAGGAATTTTTGATGGTGCTTCTTACGCATTCAATTGGCTATTTGGCATGCCTGATGCCGATGATGCTAAATTTTATGACAAATCGATAAAAACTCTAATTCAAAGTAATAGAAATACACAACTTTTGATGAAACAACAAATTGGCATAATTTCTAGTACGATATCTAATTTTAATTCTAGTATACGAAATTTTAAATCTAATCAAGAAACTCTAAACTCTAATATTAAAATTTTCAACTCCTTCTCAGCAGATACCAATAAACGTATTCACGTAAACAAACTGAAACTTATCATCAGTTCACATATTGCTTTACTCACACAAATATTAGAAGATCTGAACGAAGAATATGATTTATTAATCTCAGCTATAACAATGGCCAGACATAATATCCTACATCCGAAAGTTATAACACCAAAACAATTATTAAATGTACTTTCGGAAATCAAATTGAACAACGGACTTCAATTACCGTTCCCAATATCTTATTCAACTATTTACAAATATTTTGAGATCAGTAAACTAAAAGTTTTCCATTCTGATAACATAATTATTTTTGCAATTGAAATTCCATTGACTGACGAAATGACTTACAATCTGTTCAAATTATTGCCACTTCCAACACCTCATAATTTTTCTGATATTCATTCCTATATCCTACCTGATTTTCCTTACCTGCTGATAAGTATTAGTAAGGTTAGTTATGTGCAAATGAAAGACCTTACCAAGTGTACAAGGATCACAGAAGAGGAATTCATCTGCCAAAACACTCAAGCTACAAGGATTCAAGAACCTCCTAAGTGCGAAGTCGCATTGTTTACATCATTTTCTACCAAAATCCCGGCTGACTGTCATACCGTTACTTCCAAAGCAGACTTCGAGATATGGCATCCACTGAGCGACAACTCTTGGCTTTTCGTACTATCGACGCCCTTACAGCTTACTCTGGCTTGTGATAATTTTCCAATCGAAGATATAAAAATTGCATCAACAGGGCTGTTAAGTTTGGAACCCAAATGCAGAGGCTATACTCAAAATATTATCTTGGAAAGTTGAGGAATCATTACACGGAATATTTCAAAACAAATTTCAGAAATCAATATTGCACTTGACGATTGCTGCTATGCCAAAGAAGCCAGATTCAACAACACACCAATCACACTACAACCAATAAGACTTTCCAATATCAAATTGGACGATTTACAGTTTGCGAATCACAAACTTGGACAACTGGACCAATTGCTGGATGAAGAATTGAAGAAGCCATTTATTATTCAACACTCTCATTGGTTCATTATCATTATTTCTTTTATCGCGTCAGTTGTTCTTTTGGTAATAGTGTACAATTTTCTTAAGTGGTGCGGATTAATATCATGCATTAAAAGTATGTTTTGTTGTACTAAAAGCCCAAAGCACATATTGGATTCCTGCTGTATTAAGCTTTTCAATACAAATATAAATACCACTCCAGGGACAAGTCAAAACATATCAAGAATTCTAGAAGAAGAAGCCAGAACAAAAATGGGCGAAGGGATTGAACTAAATAACCTTCTAAGTTCCAATGAAGCAACCACATCCACTACGAATTCCATGTCCATGCGAAGATCAGTCACCCCAAGACCGTCCATAAAAATGTCTTAGTAAAAGATATGTTTGTATATTCTTAGGTATAAGTTAGTTTACATTTTTTTTTCTCTTTCCTTTCTATTCCTACCTTTATATTAAGTTAAGCTTCATATTATTTTACGTTAGTTTTTTATAATTGTATTTCTTAAAGGATTTGTTTCGAAGAAATTTCTTTATGAAAATTTCTTTTTCTTCAAGGGGGGAAGTGTCATATTCCTCCATAATATCATGACATTGTACCTTTTACGACCCTCGAATACTTTCCCAAATAATGTCTCGCCGTCGCCGAAAGAAATATTATTATATGACCCAGACTTTCTGTTAAAGAACCCAAAGATATTGTATGTAAATAAATTAAACATTTGTCCACCATAAACCCCAAAATTCCCAAATATCCTTAATGGTCATTCTTTGGGCGAACAGACTGTCATTTATTGCCAATATTTATTTAGGGTTTTCCAGTTGTAATTATGTAGGTTTTAGAAACGTTTTAGAAGGGATGTAAAGGTCGATTTGTAAGAGATCTAGTGAAGCAAGAAGACAGTCTTAAGACAGCTTCAGTCGTAGTAACACATTTTGTTAAAACTCTCTCTAAAATAAGTCTTACTTTTGCTGTAGTTCAATTTCATTCTATATTCCATTAATAAAGCTACAAGTTTCAAACCGAAAACAAAAGTAGTTTTAACCAAGGCAAAACACTGAAGGATCACAACAGGTCCTTTCATCGTTTGAGTACCAAGGTAGCCTACCTTTTGATTCAGATTTTTGAAAACTTTGAAAAGTCATAACTTTTTTTCTATCAGAGATAGAAAGCTGAAATTTTCAGCGATTCTTATTTCAGTAGAGGAGTACAATTCCTGAAAGTTTCAGCTCATTTGGACGTCTAGTTCCAGAAATAAAAACGTGTTAAGCAATTTGGAGTGATTTATCAATTTTTCTGAGTGTCTTTTTTCATATAATCCGGCTCCAAATTTCGGAATAATTTAGCGTATGGAGTTTGGGGGATCCTGAAGGAAGCATAAACAGTTTTTGAATAATTGTCATCTGATCATATAATTTTGTATATTTTCGTGTAACTCTCCATTCGTAGGTCGGTCGAGTGTGGGCCACTGGTGTCACTCTGTTTCTAACAACACCCTCTGCTGTATAAAGTTAACATGATAATCTTCTTTCAAATTTACTCAGCAAAATATCATTGGCAACAAGATATACAGACCTGTTTATTTATAGGTACAGTTCATCCATCAAAACTTGAACAGACATTCCCCATTATTTCAATAGCAAATTAGGTTCATTTTACATCGAACGAACTGTATCTCTTATAGTTATAAATACATAAAACTGAAAGTTGTTTTATAAGCAAGGTCTTGGTAGGTTTCTGTATTTAATTTGCGGTTTATTGTTATACTAGATAATACTAAAAGCTAAATGTAAGTAAAATAAGCATAAATACTTAGGAGTTAGCTATTTTAAAACTGCTAATAACCTTAATTTACTACAAAAATAACTCGGCTTTATTATTTTAGTAGAAAATGCCATCAATTAAATTATATTCTGTATCTGATGGGCCTCCGTCCCTTGCAGTACAACAATGCCTCAAATATTTGAAAATCGATTATACTTTGATCAATGTAGATTTTGGAATTGGCGAACACATGACCGAAGATTTTGAAAAAGTAGCTACTCAATAAGCAAAATAATTATTAACATAAAACATTGACATGATTATATTTTTGAAGAAAAATCCTCAAAAAGAAATTCCTGTACTTGATGATGATGGCTTTCAATTGGGAGAAAGGTACCTAGTTAATGTTCCTTTTTTGCTTAAGACTTATTTTGTTTATTTGCAGTAACGCAATTCTTCAATATTTAGCTGACAAATACGCCAAAGACCAAACTTTATACCCAAAAGACCTTAAAGAAAGGGCTCTTATTAATCACAGATTATGCTTCAACTTATCAACTTATTACAGATACATTTCTGAACATGTGGTAATAAAAAAGTGCAACTTTTCTTAAATAAATTTAGCATAATTTAATTCCAGATGGCTCCAATATTTTTCGATTACCAAAGAACCCCATTGAGCCTAAAAAAAACTCACATTGCTTTGAACAATTTCAATACTTACCTGAAAAGAAGTGGTACCAAATATGCTGCAATGACTATTGAAAAGAATTACCTACTTAAAATGTTTAATGATTATTAAATAATCTTGTTATGTCTAGTTAAATGATTTTAGATTGAATATTTTCATATGTTTGGACAACAAACGAATTTAAGGGGTTTAAAAATTTATAATTAGAGGCATAGAAAGTTTCAATAATGATCTATGAATGACATTGTTCTGTCGAGTAAATTATTTTTGGTTGAAGATTTTGGATTACATTGTAATTCAATCTAAAACGGATTTTAAGATTTATAAATTAAAAGCATTGGAAGGATTTAAATTTCAAAGAGTGTTAATCATCATATATTATTGCTCTGTCTAATTGAAGTGAAAATCTTGAACTAGCGAATAAAAAGAGGTGACTGTAACTGTTGGAAAATTTGGAATTTAAAATTAATTATTTTAAGAAAGGCTCTGTTAATTTTATGTAATAAAAGTTTATGTATGAAAACCTTATATATTGCAGTTGTTTCTCTCATTTGCAAAAAGTCACATCCACAATTTTATTTGTAGCTACCGAAGGAAATAAACACCATCAATAGAACCGCTCGCTATTTACCATCTAACGCTACTAATTGATAGAATATTTGGGCAGAATGCCACAAGTGATATTGAATCCGCAGTACCCCACTGGATTCTGCAACGCTAAGCTAAAAGACAAATTTGAAAAACTACAATAAATTATCTATTTTGTTATTTTCAATATGAAGTCATAATAAGGAAAAATTTCTTATCGTTTTAAAATTTATATTTTATTGTCTTTGGCCTTCTGAAACTGTAGGGCGAGTAGGGCGACACGCCAAGATTTCCTTGGAAATTTTTGCACCCTTGGCTAGACAATTTTTTTTTTATATTCATCAAAAGCCCTCAAACATATTTATGAAGATATCAATTGATGGAAATTATTTATAGCTTGACGGCAAATGTAGACTAGACACATAAGGTTGCTCGATAATTGCAACAAGTAGAACATTGACAAGCGTTTTGTAGTCGTCTTTGGACTTGGACGTCTTCATTTTGGCGAAAATGACCTCCTGTTAAATGAAAGTTCATTCAAAATAGTGCGAGAAATTGTACCTATTTGCTAAACATAGGTACCTACTTAGGTTGATTTGCAAAAAAATCAAAACTGTCGATATGTTATTGAAAATAAAAACAATAGGTGCCTACCAAACACAAGAATTAAGACAAAACTAGAACTACTTTACTACTACCTTTAAAACAATTCGAATCACTTGAATCAGGTCTAATTGTTGTTCAAAACTCTTTACTGTTTCATTATCTAGTAACCGTCATCTTTACTGTCCAATTCACAACTTGTTCAATTAATTCACAATTTACCGTATTCAATTCCCTACTGACTCACTATCTGTGATTATCTTGGACTCCTTATATTTTCTTAACAATTATTCTCTTGAAGGAATTTCAATTCTTGATCGTTCCGTACTTGGCTAGAAAGTACCAGTTCCTATTGGAAATTCTAGTTATCGGGTATAGGTAGGTATACAAAAGGTTTATCAACAAGTGCGAAAGATGGTTTCACTCCTATATTCGTCGGCTATTTTAAGCCGTAGGAAGTTAAAAACACACCGAAAATGTAATGTATCCTCATGGAAAAAATCTTCAAAAATGTTGATGTGCTGCGCGGGCCGGAAGTCGAGATTCAAACTCTTCGCGAAAGTCAATGAAATATATGTACAATTAAATAGCTATTCCATAGTAGCTTTTAATTTTCAATAGATTCAGCTAATATAATAAATTAAATAATGAATAACTTGAATGGAAACGAGTCTTGTAGTTTTATGACAAAATTAATTCAATATTATAAATGCTTATCGATCTCATCAACTTTATTATAGTAATTCAAAGCCAGAATAATATTCAATGTTTTTTTAACTTTTAAAATAATCTGACCACATGTTACTTCCTTTCCCCATATCATCTATAGGTTTTTGCCTCTTTCTTATGCAAACAACAATACACTAGTAGCCGGCAGCTGGTACGTAAATAGACATGTATCGCAATCATAAGTGTAAACGTTAACGTTATTTATATAGGGCTACTTAAAATATCAACCAAATAGATCTTTTAAATAATTTTTTTGGATTACCCTATGGTAGGTAGTTTAAAAAAGGAACTTTAGATTGGACCGCTTAGGAAATATAAAGATATTCAGTAGTTTTCAAGCATAAAGGTACCTACCTACATAAAAAGTGAATCATTAATGTTTCAATTATCGGCCACCTTGAAAACGCAATGTCCTCATGCCTTTTTTCATAGATGTCGGCATCAAATCTGAGAAAAATTTAGTGTATGGAGTTTGGGGGATGTAAATTGACCATTAGGACACAAAATCTCAACAGAAGAAAATGTGAAATTTCATCGTTTTAGTAAGAAGGTAGTTACCTTATGATTTAGATTTTGGAAAACTTTGAAAAGTCATAACTTTTTTTTCTATTATAGATATAGAAAGCTGAAACTTTCACTGAATTTTATCCCTTTCAAGGGACTACAATCCCTGAAAATTTCAGCTCATTTGTACTTATAGTTCCTGAGATAAAATCGTGTTAGCAATTTGGGGTGATTTATAAATTTTTCAATTTTTCTGAGTGCCTTTTTTCATAGATTTCGGCTAATTCGTTTCATTAGCTACCTACTGTATAGTGGACTAAAAACAATGCCAATTACATGTAAATATATGTACATGCATAATATAGTGGAATGAATGTGAGTAAAAAAATCAATTCAAGAGCCTGTGATAGACAAAAATTGACGGAAAATTTCAAATTTCCAATTTCAGAGTCTGGAAACTCGTGTAAAATTGCCTTTTCATTACTCAAAATTACAACTTCCATAGCCAAAATAGATCAAAAAAGCTATATAAATCATGAAAACTAAATTTTCCAAACTTGAATTTTGTCTCTGGAAGCTGGTAAGTTGTTCTGAGATATTTTTTTTCTGGAAAAATTAACTCAAACTTCTTGATTCCAATGTCCAAAATGAAAAAAACTTACCAGGTTTTTTTGAAGTTTTTTGCCATGACTTCACATAATTCTGGATTCCAGTCACAATAAGTCTTGCAGATATAAGATTAAAACTATTGGTTATTAGTGCTGCCCTGTAATAAAAAGTTTATTATTTTAGTAAGGAAAGTATTATTTTCAATAATTTACCTTATTAGGTTTGCCAATTGTAAATTTATGCCCAGTTTCCACACCACCCTAGAGGTACGAGCTATCGGCGCGTTTTTTTTTTGTCAAGTGCTTTCCCCGTTAGGCCTAATGCACTTTGAAATTACACTTGTACAACCAAAACCGTCAACTATCCATTAATTCAACCTTCACTTCTCAGCTAGGAAGACACCACTGCAAACACTTACCATACTTACGTTGTATATTTAGTGCAACAAATGAGGTCCAGGCAACTATGGCATAGGCTCCCCCGGGGCTTCCCTGCTTTAAAGATTCAGTCGAAACATGAACTGTTTTTCGGGAATTGACACATATGTAATTTCACCTGGAAGAGAAAAGTGATAAAAGTTTGGATCCATCATTGTCAGTCAGTTATGTGTCTAGGAAAGGGATGCCTGGAAAAAACAACTTTGGGTTAGTGAAAATTTGAATGTTTTATGTTAGAAATCACCTATTTATTCAGCTTCCAATATCCAGCAAACTTTTTTTTTAAATGTATTCAATGTTCTAGAAAGACTTGTGGAAGCAACTTATGTTCAGGAAGATGACGTTATCTTCATCTGAAACACACAAAACAGAAAAATTATTCAACTGTTAATATTCTGGAAACAACTTATGTCCAAGAAGCTGCATTGTTGAAGTTGATATTGCCTTCATCTGTAACACACAAATCAGAATTATCCAAAGAGAGCATTCAGCTGTTCCGTGTCCCTTTTGGGCTTGATGCAATATCGAAATTACATTGTACCAACACCCAACAGCATATCCGTGAATTCAACCCGCTCTCGCCCGTATGTTTTGCCGACTGCTACACATACCCGTGAGGTATATTAGTGCAACAAATGAGACCAGGGCAACTATGGCATTAGGTTCCCCGCGGCGCAGCTAGTACCGAAAAGAAACGCTCAAACCACCAATGTTGGAGGATATTGATGAAATGGAATTTTAATTTGTTGATTGAGTGAATGAGAAGTTTACAACCAAATGCTCGATTATTATAGAGGGTGATCCAATTAGGATTTTGAAGTGAAATATAATGCACACTGTACCCTTGGTAGTCCGAGGGGTGTTTCAGTAACTAAATTTTGTACACCTGCTATATTTGACTGCATTATGATTGTATTAAAGATTATAGTTGACTGCATTGAGTTTTAAGCAATATCTAACAAGATTGCAGGCTTCACTCGCAGCGACTGGCTTATGATATTTCGTGAGTGTATATGGATTGTACACTACTGCATGTGACTGCACAGAATTTATGATGATTGCAAGCGACTGTTTTATGACTGCATGCAACTGTATTATGACTCCATGATTTCATATATGCCATTGACGGCGTGGGAGTCATTATTTTTAAAACACAATTGCAATTAGTTTGTCTTCCAAATAGAATGAAAACATTATGACAATGTCTGTGTTTTATTTCATTTCAAAATACTAAAGCACTAATAGTAGAACCTCGGTTATCCGAAATAACGTGGGGTGGGTAGTACCGTTGTATTACCCACCTCGGATAACTGAAAACTCGGATAATCCGAATAATGCACATATAATATGTATTATGAAGAGTGTAGGTATTCGTATATTGTTTGTAGCGTATTACTTTACAAAACAACATTACCTATTTTAAAAAAGACATAACTCCATTATTAATAACTCAATTCAATCCCTTTGAGTTTTTAGTATTTTTCACATTGAACCTTCAGGAAAACGTCCTCAAAATTTCAAATTTCCACTCACTTCAGTTTTTGAGTGAAATAATTGTTTCTAGAGTATTACTTTACAAAACAAC